TAGAAGTTGAAAAAACATTGTTTTACTTCGAAATATACTAATTTTATAAGAAAATTCGACGTAAATAGGAGGCAGTAGAGCTGCGATAAGCCAGCGCTAAATCTTCAATATGAAGAATGTTGCTGCTCTCTGATTGGCCAAACGAAACACAGTAGTGACCTCTATCGGCACGCAGGTGAACCAACAATTTTTCTTCCTAAGTATACCTTATTGAATAGCACCTAAGCATCTTCTTAGGGCGCACTTAGGAACCTTCGTAGCAAACCCACTTACGAAGAAATACACAGAGCTTCCTGAATCTAGGTCCTGGCCTTTAGATGGTATTACCATGGGGGGAAGAGAATATGGCCCTAGAACTTTTATGATAAAACATTTATTATCGGTAATTTGTACGAGGGAATTACATGCATGTGATACAATTTGTCCAATGTACATGTATTTTAAACGTGTGCACATGAAGAAAGGAAAATGGCATGTGGAAACTTAAGGCAGTGTTGCCGTCGGCTAGTCTCACCCGCCGGGATCTCAACACTTAACAAATATATTATATTTTTTCCCACTTGATTAAAATTATAACTTATTAAAATCAATGTGAGAGTTTCGTGGGTATAATATGGTAGGTAGAGGTGTGGGTAAGGGGAGAGCGTGGAGATGGGTAATATGGTGGGCCGGGTCTCAGCCTTCCAGTTAGTGTTCACGTGGACGCCTGCTGGCTCCTGTAGCTCCTCTGCTGCTCCACCACGGCCACCCTCCCCACTCTACACTCCACACCATCACCCCTCGAGCCATCAAGGTGGGGTCATTAGCAGCGGGAGAGATGGAACAAGCCACAGGAGAGTGGAGGAAGACAGTAGAGGCGGCCGGCGACCCCATGCCAGGTGTGTAGGGTCACAATGGCTAGCGCCAATATCCAAAAAGCCTAATTTAGTGCTTACCTAAAACAATAATAAACCGTGAGCTGTCTTTTCTTGAAATAGATGTGAAAACACTTTTCGTGGAAGTGAAGTTTGTGCGAGAGGCATAACATGGTCCTCACAAATGTTGTTAAATGAAAATAATGTGAACATATATCTAAGGCATCAGAGATGGCGTAGTCATCATTTTAATATTAGCCTTGACAAAACAAAAGGATTGTCTGCCCATTGGCCTGCAAGAACATGATAAAGTTGACGCCCTTGCTAAGGCTGCAGTAAATACAGATAGTATTGAACGGAATTTTGAGTTATCAAATAGGTCCCTTAAAAGTGTCAATAGACGAGAATTCCTGGATGGATTTGAAGAAAGTAGAACAGTGCAAACTGGAACTAGCAGGTCCATTGTGTATCACAGTAAAATGTATGAGGTAAAACATGTGTATGGGACAAATGACAGTCGGTAAACTGCAACGGTTCTATTGTTACATAAAGTATGGTGACAATAAACACAAACACCAAGAGAATACCAGTACACTGTATATATATTTGGTCGAGTATACAGAAGTATGCAGGTGATACTTAGGCGAGCAATGGTGTGAGTTGAGCGCACCGAGAGTCGGTACAGTATCTCGCAAGTGTGTTCTAGACCACACTTGAAAGTAGACTAGTTATTATTCGCTACTCTGCTGCTTATATGCTCGGGCAACACCTCGCCCTTCTCCAAAGGTTGACAGGAATATTATGTGAAAGTTGGGAAAGGTTCGAGTTCCATAATTAGTACTAAGAAGAGCTTTGCTTCTCTCATTAGGCTAATGCGTTTGGAGCAAGTATATTATTGGGATAATCTACTCACTATAAGACTAACAGATGTTGTCGCAGCTCAAATAAGACTTGGCTACAAGTATCTCTGGCAGTTCGGCTTGTATAGGGATCTAGACGAAGTAAAGTGTGTGGACAAAGACAGGGACACACACTCGAACACTATATCTTGGATTGCAGTAAAAGTACAATCCCTGCCTCTCGGTGACGGGCAGTGCAGTGCCTGCCTCTCGGTGACGGGCAGTGCAGTGCCTGCCTCTCGGTGACGGGCAGTGCAGTGCCTGCCTCTCGGTGACGGGCAGTGCAGTGCCTGCCTCTCGGTGACGGGCAGTGCAGTGCCTGCCTCTCGGTGGCGGGCAGTGCAGTGCCTGCCTCTCGGTGGCGGGCAGTGCAGTGCCTGCCTCTCGGTGGCGGGCAGTGCAGTGCCTGCCTCTCGGTGGCGGGCAGTGCAGTGCCTGCCTCTCGGTGGCGGGCAGTGCAGTGCCTGCCTCTCGGTGGCGGGCAGTGCAGTGCCTGCCTCTCGGTGGCGGGCAGTGCAGTGCCTGCCTCTCATCCATCACTCCCTCCAGACAAGTCTGTGGCAAGTTGTTACTTCCATTAAAACTACAGTAAATCTTGTTTATCCATAAATTGAGAATACATTAATGTAAACATTGACTTTGCACAAAGTGCCTATGCCAGGTTTAATACATTAGAATGTTAGGTTCACTTAGATAATAGGTAAGGTTAAGCTTTGCTGCTTAATGTTAACTTATTATGCAGTGATAGTTTGACATACTCATTTGGGTGTAAAATGTCCTTGAAGTAGACACGAGGTTCAGTAGCACACGATGTGTTTCTAATGTTTAGGCTCTCATGCAAGTGCTCCAGAAAATATTGAAGTATATATTGACATGATCACTTTTGAGTTAAAAAGTGTTGGCATTAGGTGTTCACACCCATAATTAATTCCTCTTCTGCTACTTTCCTTCCTCCTTTTTAAACTACTGTGTAGAAGGAATATCATCGAACAACTTTGCGAGCAGTTTGGCTTGTGAAGCCACTCTTCATGCTACTGAATGGGAAATGTCAATTCCTCAAGGCATGCATTTCTCATCCCTTGTGCCCTTGAACAAGTTTGAGGTTGTACTTTAGATAAACACAATTTCATTGTCAACTAAATGGAGATGATTTCTTTTCTCTTGATACTGGTTAAATGAGAAGAATTAAAAACTAAAATGACTAGTACATTTTCCTATGACTAGAACTAGCCAATTTTTCTCTTGCAGACCCCTCAGTTACCTTGGGGTTCTGCGGAACCTTGGTTGAGAAATGCTGCTCTAAGCCCTAGGGGGAATCCCCATGTTCCTGTTGGTATATAGCTTTTAAGTCCCTCCATTTTTATACTTTATTTTGGGGAGTTTAGTGGAGATGGCAAGTCTAACACTAATGTTCGACGACAAGTACTGTACTGTATTTCATTCCTTTGGGCTGGACGGTAGAACAATGGTCATGCTTCTTGCAAGTTGGAATTCAGTCCCTAACCATCCAAGTGGTTGGATAATGTTCCTTTCCTCCTTCCTCTCCCAGTTCCATTCCTCATATCCTCTCCAAGGGCTAGTCATACTGGCTTAGTGCTTCCCATGATTACTTTTTTTTCCTTACATTTACAGTACATGTATATACAATATATGGCATTGACCATCTTGACAAGGAGCCGGTCGGCCGAGCGGACAACACACTGGACTTGATCCTGGGTTCGATCCCAGGCGCCGGCGAGAAACAATGGACAGAGTTTCTTTCACCCTATGCCCTTGTTACCTAGCAGTAAAATAGGTACCTGGGTGTTAGTCAGCTGTCACGGGCTGCTTCCTGGGGGTGGAGGCCTGGTCGAGGACCAGGCCGCGGGGACACTAAAGCCCCGAAATCATCTCAAGATAACCTCAAGATAGATCTTGTATCCTGTACACCTTTTAAGGTTTTTGTTTTTTTCCATGCTAAGTACCAGTATTTTTAATTTATTACTGTTGAATGTCATTATCTTTTTTATAGCCCATTCAAAGATGCCTGTAATTTTTTGCAACTTGTACCAAGACAGTGTTCACTTATTTTTGTGCCATCAGTGACAGATGGCACACAACTGATGTTTCCCATTTGTCTAATATGAAGATGAAAAAGAGTGAGACCTGTACTTTGTGGGACAGAGCTTTATACCTTCTCAGACCAAGCTTGTGTGGGATTTACTTCTATTTTTTCATCTGAAAAAGCTTGAAATCCACCTCCCAAATTTTGCTAATTACTGTATTTCCTTAGTATGCCTTGTGGCTACCTTGTGTTGGTTCTGCGGATCAATATTCCCATGATCTGGTCTCTGACCAGACTTCCTGATTGATGGTCTGGTCAACCAGGCTGTTGGATGTAGCTCCTCCCAATATGGTATATGAATCAGTCCTGTTGATCGGGTATCCTTTGGAGGTGTTTACCAAGTTGTGTTTTGAACACTGAGAAGTTGCTTAGTTGTGTCCCTTATGTTTAGTGAGAATGTTGAAAAGTCTTGTGCCCTTGATGTTACTATTTGCCAAAGTTTAGATTACTCTAAATCTGCACATACAAGTCTAAACAGCGCCTTCAGTTGACCATCTTTGCTGTTGTATCAGTCGCTTCATGTAGTTCAGTAGGCAGTGTCTTAAAGAGGCTAAAACCTGCCTATGTATCATGCAATGCAAATGTTTTGCCTTGTAAATAAGAATTAAAGCTGTTAACAATCCAGCTCAAATAACTCAACATAATAGGCCTATTACACCTGATTAACCTTTGTATGTGCTTTGTCCCCTATTATCCACTGTTTATCCTCCATATACTATGTATATATATATATATAATATATATATATATATATATATATATATATATATATATATATATATATATATATATATATATATATATATATATATATATATATATATATATATATATAATATAATAAATTTAGAGTGTAGCACACTCAGCACATTCATCTCATTGTCACATTGTCTAGGGCTTTGTCCTTTTAAACTGCAAGTTTGACAAGTAGGAATTTAGAGCTAACTCTGTAAATAAATTCCATTGTAGTTTAAACATTTTAACTATCAACACTTTGTTTTCTTTATAGCCTATGATTTTTAATACCTATACTGTAATTTGCACACTACTTTTTTCACTACTGTACAGTGAAAAAGTTTACATTTTTTAAGTCAAAACATTTTAAACAGTTTGTGTACTATTTATATAATTTTTGCTTTCCAGTGGTTGACCTGATCTACTGGCGCGATGTGAAGAAGACTGCAGTGGTTTTTGTAGCCTTCTTAGTGCTGCTGCTCTCTCTAGCCTATGTATCATTCATTTCTGTGCTGTCCTACACTTCACTGACCGTCCTTACTGTAACTATTATCTACCGAGTTTACAAGAATATTATGCAGGCAATTCAGAAGTCACAGGATGGACACCCATTCAAGTAAGTTCTAGGAATTCATTCTTTACTATTCTAGCTAATTTTGTTATAATGTAATTTTTAAACATGTGAATAAGGTTTTTGTGTTCTATATTAAGCTGGACAGAATATACATATTAAATTAAAATTTTATTCCTGCTTGAATGGAAGCTTGTAAAGTGATTTTTGGTATCAAAATGTGTACGAAGCATGTTCTTTCCTATGCACTGTTAAAAATAGCAAAATATTAATTAACAATTTATAAAGGACTCCTGGTTGTAGCTGCAGAGTCTCTTCATATGAATCCCCTGTACAGTACAGTACATTGTTGCAGGATGCATCCTTTGTGGACATTGAGGGTTCACTATATTGGAGAAAACTTCTGCCAAGGGTACATTATACTCATTACATGACCAATGGCCCTCTCAATAATTTCCAATTTTGTTGTTTATATATAGTACAGTATAATAAAGGCCACTAAATTATAAAAGTTCTTCATATTGTTTGCCATATACAGTACAGTATGACATTTAGTAAATGTTAACTCCAGTTAATTACTCGACTCACTGTTACATTGGCCTGTATATCAAACATTGGTTTCATGTATAGTGTAGTTTGATATTTTCACTAGGCAAGAATTGATGAAATGTTCTACTCGACTAAATTAAAAAAAAAAAAGTGCTCAAAATAACGGTACAATAAAAAAAAAATAACATTCGAACTTGCTTGTTTGAGGCCAATCATATGGCCTGAAAGCACTATGGTTGGCAGTACCATATACAGTAGAGTACTTGCCACCTGATTGCTCAAGACTATGTTACAGCACAATTATTTTGATTAGCTTCCACAAAACCATTTACTGTATCCATATTTGTTTTAGCTTTGTTTCTAAATAGGCACATGATATGCAAATAATATTTAAACAATTATTTTTTGGTAACTAAACATTCCTAGAAAAGTTGCATTTATTTGTTAGCTTGAAATACCTTTTGTAGCATAGCCTCGTCTTTGTACCTCGATGGCAGCAAAACAGTTGTAATACCATACAGTTGACATGCCTTCACATCACACTGATCATTTACAGGCCTTTGTTCTCAATGCCTGTGGCTCGTGCCTTTGTTTCGGCTACAGATTGTAAATGTGCACTACCAACAGGCAAACCCAGGGGTGATAATACATAAACCATTGGTAAAAGGCTTCATCCAAATCTTATACAGTACAGCACAGTACTTAAAAAGATCTGTGTTTTCCAGTAACCATTATCACCACTGTTCAGATTGGCTTCTTTTAGTTTTGAATGCCTCTATCCATGATTAGTTTCTGCAATACTTGCCATCTTACCCACGGTAAGGAAGTTCCTCTTGCCTGCTGTATCCTTAACACTTGCCAGACAACAAAAGTTGGTGAGTAATGCTGGAAAAAGAGGTCAGACTGCACTCACACTTGAGGACAACACATTGGTACACATGCACTCAGTAGTTCTACAATCGCTGTAAGTCCCACAAATAAATTCTTCTATTCAGTTTATAGAACAGTAAAAAAAAAAATCTATAAAATTAAACTAAAGTACTATTGACTATTAAATGTCCAAGAATAACAAACATTTGAAAATAACATAGGCTAGAATATTACCAATTATGACTTCGTACTTCGCCACACCCAATTCAAAATACAGTACAGTATAGATCTAAATCCCAAAAAGGTCAGTTTTGTATCGGCAAATCTAGAGTAAAATTGGCTTGTTATTTAGAGATCTGTTATATCTCTTTACTTAGCTGGCACTTTACTTAGTTTTTCAGTGGAACATAAACCTTGCAAACATCGTCCAGAGTTTTGAAAATTCATCCTAAGGGGTCAACTAATACCTAGAATGACCAACTCCTCTCTCTACTTTTCCTTCCCTTGCACCCTTACACTCCTTACCAACACCATAATCACCAGCCTATGCATACATTTCTTATCAAACCACATCTTAGTTTTTGAGTGACATTACAGTGTAATATTTAGAAATGCTGAAAACTGATGGCTTTGGAAAGCAAGTAAAATTTTTGTTCATAGATTTTGATATTAAATGTTTAAAAAATCAAATACAGTACATGTTATATATATCCCATGTAGTGAGGTTGTCAATTGGTTTGCAGTGTTATGGAAGCTGTATTTAATTACTTACATGTAACTCTGGACACGATAATACAATCTGAAAAGTAGATAAAATTGTCATCAATTCAAACTACAGTACTGTTATTTATTGCAACAATACTGTGAGGTGCTAAGGAGTGTGTTAAGAAGCATTCTAGTTTCATAAAATGCTCATAATTATCATTGTGATTATCAGAAATAACAATGTAGACTAAATCTTCTAGGAGTTTCCTGGAACTGGATACTGATCTGCCTCAAGATAAAGCACGTGATTTCAGCGATGCCTTTGTCACTTGGTTCAACCCCAAATTTTCTGAAATTAAGCGACTTTTCCTCGTGGAAGATCTCGTTGACTCCGTCAAAGTAAGTAGTACTATGCAATTGTTGACAGTTTGGTTAAGTTAGGTATTAGATAGTGAATGATTTAACCGAGAAGTTTAAATGTGGATACAAATTAGAAAGTAAAAAGTTATTATAATTTTGATTTAACATTGTTGCTACCTCAATGAAGATTTTCATTGAATTGTAGAATTGTAGGCCAGAATTGTAGATTTAAGTACAATGCATGCAGGTCTCTGATTGTTGGAGGGGGGGGGGGGATTTTTGTAAGGAAGTAGATCCAGTTGAAATTAGGTTTTCTTGCATAATACACAGGAAGAGGCTCGGATAATATCGGAGAGGAAAACACAAAAACTAGTAGCAGATAGGATAGAGTAATAGTAAGAATGTAGCTATGAGCTAGCAGGAAAATTACAGTTGAATGAAGAAGTGAAATCTCTGGGCTAAATGTCAGATACTTTAAAATATCAAGCGTAGCAGCTTGTGGTCTTGGCAGAAATCCCAAGAGAACTAAATGTTTTAATACAGATAACTAATGTACCAGTAGTGCCTCATAAAAATAAAGTTGGCAAACTAGATATTGCCTTCCATAAGAAAGGCAATGTCTAGTTTGAAAGTCGACTAAAATTAGGCTATAGCAGCTCGGTGAAAGTGATACTGTGAGGACAATACTTTTCTGTTTGACTCTTCAACTTGTTTATTCAGAGGAATGTTACTCAACCTAACCAGAATGAAGGTAGCAAAAAGATGGGGAAGTACATTAGAATGATCCAGTGTGGAGTTAGAGCTAAAGGACATGACTTACAGACTATGTAAATACATCCATTAGAATTTTTTTGTTACAAGGCGTACAGTTTGAGCACACAGTGCGAACCATTTTTGTATTTGGTTCCATTACCTATTGTACCTAATGCAATCAATCAATATAGTTTTTGGTTCTAAAGTTTTATCAAAGAATTAGGATTAGTAATTATGTAAGTGAAACGTTCTTGCTCAATGGCAGTGAACAGGACGTCACAGATTGTTTAGATATTGTGTGTGGGTAATTTGGGTAAGAAATATACTACACTAATGTGCTTGTATTAGTTTCCTGTGATGTTACTATTGACAGTACTATATGCAAGGTTGGTATCTTTTCTTCTCAAAAGTACTTTCCTTTATAGCCGTAAGTTTGGATAAATGAGATGGAAAAATATAGTAATGTAAATAAATAAATAATCTCTCTGATAAAAAAAATATATATATATAAAATAAATATTAAATTTATATAGTTTGACTATACTGTCATATCCAAGTGATACTTGTGCATGTGCTTACATGTGTCTTTTTTTTTTTTTTTTCCAGTTTGGTTGCTTGCTGTGGTGTCTGACATATGTCGGGTCTTGGTTCAATGGGCTGACTTTGGTCACCTTGGCTGTGGTAGCACTCTTCACTCTACCCAAGGTGTATGAACAAAACCAGGCCCAAATTGATCAGTATGTGGGGCTTGTTCGCAACCAGGTCAACGATGTTATGTCAAAGTAAGGACTTGTATACATTATTGTAAAATAATTTGTTCAACTGGGTAAAACCTGGCCATTTTAAATTTGTGGCAGTTAGCCTACAATAGTTTAACAATGATGGGTTATATCTAATAGCTAATAGATAGCTCTGGAGGTGTATTAATGAATAACTTGACTGAATGTAAAAAAATACAATAAGACTGCAATATTCAGACCCCACTTTTGCATTTCTTGGTTTAATGAAAGATAAATATTCAGTTCTCCATCCTCATTTACCAGTTACCCAGTTAATATGGATAACTAGTAATATTAGCATATTAACTGGACAAGCTGGATAACCCCGCTTGTCCAGTTAATATGATCACCCTACGATGAGATGCTCCCAGCAGGAAGCAAGGCATTGGGGCTATACATAGAGTACCTGAAGCTTTACCACATTTATTATGTACTTGCCTCTTCCATAGGTACATCCAGTTGTCATATAATCTTGCACTCTTCATGCTCCATCAAAGCCAATTAAGCCCCCTTTTCACCACTTTCACCCGTTTTGTTAAAAGTATCCTACCCATTTCTAAACTCCCCTTCATCATTTAACATTGTCCCATGTTAGTTTAACATTCCCAGTTAAGTCTTCCCATCTACCAGTCTTCCTGCTACTATTTCATTACTTCCTAAAACGACTTCCTGTTCTCCAAGAATTTTTCTGCTGAACTAGACTCTTCATACCTGTCACTAATCATACTGTTTCCTTGTGACTCTTGCCTCCAGAATTCTATGGATACAATGTACAACACCCAATATGAATTTAATTGCCTGTCTGTACAATGTGAATTATAGTGTACAATCCATACCATTCTGTAAGGTAATATAGGCCCAAATATGTGCCATAAGTAAAAATATAAAGATTTTAGTATTTGATAACATTTTGCCATGAAAGTTGTTCAAATATTTTATTTTTATTTTTAATTTGCCATTTTAAAGTTTATTTAGGTATTGGTATACAGATGTTATAAAATACTGCTTGGTATGATGATCTTCAATACCATCCCCACAAGTGGAAAACTGTAACAGTACATCATGATTGGTGAAAGTTCTCTTGTCAGTTAATTTATTCTTTGCATTTATTTGAATTATTAGGCTTTTTAACAATCTTTTAAACCTTCCAACTTTTACTGTATTTAGTCTCAAGACATACTAATGTTTTTCTTTTTATAGGGTAAAGGCTGCTCTCCCGATTGGAAATAAGGAAAAGACCCAGTAAGAATGAAATGCCAATTTGTGATATCCTGAGTGCATCTATATTTGTGTGCTACATCGAACCACTGGTGCGTTGCAGCACCTGCACCAACTTCGACATCTGCGTATTCTCGTCAGCATGCGAAGAATGATGCCAATGGAGAACCAACCTAGTGGTGTGGCCAATCATGCACTACTCCCTTTCTTCACAGTGTATTTCATGCTGGGAATATACTATACTGCTGCACTTAGTGTTTTGATAGTATGTGGACATTGTTAACTTACTATGCTAAAGTTTTATAGTATTTCATTGGCAACATATATTACTGAAGACTGAAGCCCAGCAACCTATTCTTGTGAGGTGTAGGGAGATTAGAGACTATTTTGTGAATAAAGAGGCACATTTTAATGAAATTGGCACTTCCAGCTGATATTAGTGCTATTGAGAAGATAATCAGTTGATGCTATTGTGCCTCTTGTCACCCTATTTCTGATTCTCACCCTTGCTTGTCTTGGTCAGAAGATTGTGCATAGCATTGAGTATATACATCGTGTACTGGGTCTAATGTATGTTGAGACATCATAATTCCAGAAATGCTGTTGCACCCATACAGCCCAGTCAAGGGTGAGAAACAGTCACAGATACACCACTCCACTGTATAGTCAATGCATAACTGTTCTCTGTAGAATCTTTTTTCTTAATTTTAACGTTAGAAATGTGAAGGGCGTATCAATGCAATCGTGTTAAGTTGGTTTAGTTTGTTCTAACATGCTTGAAAATGACTGTCTTACGGTTAATGTAGAAAATTGCCAAATAGTGCAAAGGATCTGTTGTCATTTGTCAAGTCTTCTGAGATCTGTCCTCATAATTTATGATCTTCATGCTTTTTGATTTTTATATAGAAATTGATATCTATTGTACTCACTTGCATATAATTTTATAAATATGCAAACAGTGTTTTGATTTTTATATATAATCACCTCCATAACTCTGTATGGGAAACCTGCTTCCATTTTGATGGGTGTTCTCTTATGTATGAAGTGGGATTTTTCCTCTACTTTCATAGTGTTGTTGCTTGCCACAGTTGTTTACTAAAGAGCTTCTGTATACATTTTCAATGTCATCATAAATATACAAGTAAGGATTCAGACATACTATAAATTAGTTTAATTTTTGCATTGAACTTACACTGATCCATAGAGGAATATAAATGAATCCCTACTTGAGTGAAAGAATTAGAACACAATTGTGGGGATGCAAACAGGTGAAGATTTTATTTATATTTGGGTAATGGGTAGGAAAACAAATGTAAAAGAGGAAAAAAAATCTTAAGTTGAAAAGGTTTTCTAATTACCTGTAAGTGTTCTTTCATATTGCATACATTACTGTCACAAACAACAGTAAATTTGCTGTACTACCAAATAAAACATCAGTGATTTGGTGAACTTTTCTTTTCATTTAATGTACATAAGTTTTGTATATAAGGTTTAGGATGGAAGGAATATTAATTTTAGTCTTTCAAGGTTATTAAAGAGATTTAATTTACATTAACAATTTTAATCTTTAAAATATATAAAATAGGTTTTCCATTAATACCTAGTATAGTACTAAGTGTAATTTTAGTGGGCTTTAATACTGGCACATTGTGAAACAGTATGAAGCATTTTGAACATCTAGGTAAATAATTATCTAAAGAAGGCACCAAGCTGGGGAGAGCAAAAACACACAAGGTGAGTGATATCAAAGGTACCAGATTCACCAAAGATTCTATCGAGGGACAGTAGAGAAGCAAGACAAACGTCCTGGAAGTCAGGACATTCAACAAGGATATGCACGACAGTAAGAGGGACAATAAGGAGCAGGGCAGCACTCCATTACGTGCCCATGCGAGTTAAACTTGTATGGCCAATACGTAACCTCACCAGAGCCGTTTCCCATTGCCAGTTAGTGGAAGGACCCACTACCAGTAACGGAAGGCCAATTGGCACAGATTAAGGAATGAATGACTGGGTAGAAGTCAGAATAAGGAATGCCTTTGTTGGAAATAGGACAAGTGTGGATAGGTTCCTTAGCGGCAATTGCAGTTCATTGGAGGAAACTCTAATATGGCCGAGAACCCAGCAAAACTCTACTATCTTAAATCTACTGAAGATAAGAAAAAGCAAATGTTGAATTTTGACTACCACAGGATTGACTGGATTTAATGACTTCGCAATACATGAGGGCAGTCTCAACTACGACGACAAAGGAATGTTGACAGTGAGAAAGTAGTTGACAAAGCATACAAAATTGCATAAAGGTCTGCCATGAAGATGCTAGTCTCTGGAGGCAGGCAACACAGGTGTTGTCAGGAAATACAACAAAGTAGCCCACATCAGCAGCAGACTTAGAGCCACCTGTAAAGACTGAAATGGACCAGGAGAGTGAAGAAAAGTGTGCAAGGAAAACATGTGTCAGTACTGTAGGAGAGGTAGAAGCCTCTGTTGGTAAAGGTTTTGCAAAACTTTGGAAGTGGGACCCTCCAAGGGGGTCCCCTTGGTGATGAAACAAGAAATATTGGCATTTTGAACAGAGAGAATCTTGCAAGCGAGACAACTATGGGAAAAGGATTGTGATGAAAGTGAACGGGTAATGGTCAAAGCACGAACGACGTGAGTTAGGGTGTTGTTAGGTTCGCGCAAGGTAACGTAGACAGTAGCGATCCTATAGACAGGATGCCAGTTTCAACATAAGCTCAGGGTAGAGGACGAACGAAAGCAGAGCCGAGGCTTAACCCAGTATGGTGCAGAGCATCAAGACGATGATGAAGAATGGAAGGAGAGGCAGACGATTAAGCAGGACAGCTATAATCTAGTTTAGCCAAAATGAGAGAGGAGTGTGCATCTAATGGTTCCCCAGAAATAGGTAGGTAGCTCTTTGTAATTTGGACATGCTTTATTTTGAACAAATTTCAAGCAGCCTTTTATCTTTCAGTATGTATGACTGATTTCCCTGGCTGTTTAACAGTTGGGTACCCAGAAGTAAAGTCTGCTGGTGTATAGTTGTGCCTCTGACCACAAGAAGTCTCCTGAGACCTCTTGAGGTCAAGAAAAATATTTAGAAAAAATTGCCAACCCTTTAGTGCCCACAGAACAACTGATCGCATTACCTCCCAAGAGCTTCTTTGGATAAAATATTAATGGATTATTCAAAAACATTAGTGATTTTTTAATAGTAAATATCTTTAGTATTTCTGTAAGTTGACTCGGGCACCCAGAAAATTTCCCAAAATGGTTTTATTCAATAACTAAGTATTTTACTTTTTAATTGTTCTGTCTGTAGGCTTCGGAAGTGGCAAAAAGTTGCCACAACTGCATTTTTTTTTTTTGTCTGAGCAAATATACCTCTTTCTCAGCTTATGGGCAAATTATAGTACTGTACAGTACATACAATATTTTACTGATGTTCCCCAAGCTACATATCATATTCTTTAGTCATAAAGATTTTTATTGTTAAAAAAAATCTGCTATCGGGGACTAGAGGGAAGATGCTAATGCGAGTAATTGTTAATTGCAGAGACTCTTTACCCAAATAGTAATTATCAAATGAAGGCACCAAGCTGGGAAGACTACATTGCACCATCAGTGTTACTAGGCATTCAAGAGGCATTAAATATCACCCAAGATGCCAATCCAAGACTAAAAGAAGTGGTAAGGATGGAATGCCAAAAGGAGAGATTGCAAACATGGAGAATTTTGAAAGGGACATTCTTACAGAAAAAAGGTGGTAGTGAGAGGGAACAAGGGCAACTGTGAGGATATTGCATGAATCATGCCCGCTACTGAAGTCATTATCAACGATCCTGTAAAGACGGGATGCCAGTTTCAACATACAGGGTAAGAAGATGAAAGGAAGGTATAAGAGCTGTGACACATCTCTGTATAATGCATTAAGATGACAAAAGGTCAAAGTAGCAGGCAGGGCAGACATAATAGAGCTTAGACAACACATGAGTCCAAATACAAGAGTGCACCTATCAGTTTCCCAGGAATTACATGACAAGCTTTTAAGCAAGGGAAGGACCTTGGAGCATTCAACTCAAAGGTGAGAAATATGAGATGACAAAGACAAACGAGTCAAAGACCAGCCTCAAAAGTTTAACAATCTTAATACAGAAGGAGATTACCATAGAGCAGCATTGGGGCATGAAGAATGACATGCTTCCGAGTGTCATAGTATAAATCTTAGTGGTAGATAACTGGAAGTCATGACTGGCAGCCCAGGACATCACTATCAATCACATGTTGGAGGAAAGGGGAGTCGTCACCATGACAGCAGAGTGAGATCATCAACATAAAGGGCTGTGAAAATACCAGAGGAAAAAAGACCATCTAGGGCAACAAAGAAAATAATAGTGCTCAGAACACTATGATAAAATCACCAAGGCATTAGAAGAAAAACAATGCTGATGTGGAATACACGGACTTCACAAAGGAATGTGGTAAGTGTGACCATGGAGCACACAAAATTAAGTCAATGGGAATAACGTAAAGTAGAATGGTGGATATTCTATTTTCTGTCAAACAGAACAAAAAGAGTATCGGTCAACCAAATAAAATAGAGTCCAAGTACAGTTAAAAGCTCTATACCTCAAGGTACAGTCCTTGCACCACTGCTTTTCCTTATTCTCATATCAGATAGAGACAAAAATACAAATCACAGCTTTGTGTCATCTTTTGCAGATGACAATAATCAGAGTGAAAATTACTTCTGTAGAAGGCATTGAAAAACTACAAGCAGATATTAATAAAGTTTTTGACTGGGCAGCAGAAAATAACATGATGTTTAACAGTGATAAATTCCAGGTACTCGGGTACGATAAAAATAAGGACCTTAAACAAAATACAGAGTGCAAAATACAATCAAATCTGCCCATAGTAGGAAAGCAGCATATAAAGGATCTGGGAATAATGATGTCTGATGACTTAAAGTTTAGGGAGTATAAACCAAGCAAATATTGCATCAGCCAGAAAATTTTTAGGATGGATTATGAGAACCTTCAAATCCAGGGATCCCATCACAATGGATGTATTTAAATCACTTGTGCTGTCCTGTCTTGAGTACAGTACTGCTCGATACTCACTTCTCCCATCAGAGTGGGAGAGATTGCTGAAATAGAGGGAATACAGAGAACATCTACAGCATACATAGATATGATAAAGCACTTAAACTATTGGGATCGTCTCAAAGCTCTCCAAATGTACTCCCTAGAAAGGAAACAAATAATACACACATGAAAAATACTGGAGGACCAGGTCCCAAATCTACACAATAAAATAACAACATACTGGAGTGAATGATATGAAAGAAAATGCAGAATAGAACCAGTGAAGAGCAGGGGTGACATAAGCACAATCAGAGAACACTATATACTGTAAATATCAGAAGTCCACGTTTGTTAAACATACTGTACTCCCAGCGAGCATAAGAAATATTGCCGGAACAACGGTGGACGTCTTCAAGAAAAAAAACGGATAGTTTCTACAAGAAGTGCCAGGCCAACCAGGATGTGGTGAATATGTGGGCCTGTGAGCCGCTCCAAGCAACAGCCTGTTGGACCAAGCTCTCACAAGTCAAACCTAGCCCCGGACCAGGCTTTGGGAGTACAAGAATTCCCAGAACCCCTTCCAGGTACAATCCAGGTACCTTGGAAAGATCATATTGTTGAAAAAGAGTCAGAGAAAGTGATACGAAGTCTTACTTTAAATGAGCGACAAGAAAGGAACTTTAAAGGAAGAGTGGGAGATTACCTTGAAGCTCAAAGGAATGTAGTTGGGCTAAAATATTGTACCTTCAGGTGGTGTCATGAGCCTTTTCCAGTTCAAAAAGAATGACAACAATAGAGGTATTCACAGCAAAGGCAGTATGAATACAGATCTCAAGTCCACTAGGATATTAACCGTACTGCAACACTTGTCAAGACTAAATTGAGAGGGGGGAGAGGTAGTGATGACATTTTAAGACCCCCACAAGATGCATTAACCATATGTTCAAAAAGTTTGCAGACACAACTCAGGGTAATGGGCAAAAATCCTTAGGAAAAGTCCCCTCAGTACCAGGTTTCTGAATGGGAAGAACAACTGCCTCCCAAATGTGGTTATAGATATTCAGCAAAAACTGAAAGGCACACTGAGGGAGGTGATGAAGCCTCTCAATGAATGCCATCCAAGCTTGCCGCCATAAAATTGCAGAGGGACAGGGCAGATTTGAGTTCAGAGAGAAGAAATCACTGTAGGGGAGATGTAGGCGAGTGTAAAAGTCCAAGAGACAAGATTCAATAAAGGGCTTACGAGCAAGGAAAGTAGGAGGAAGATGAGTAATGGGACTAACGATTGAAAAGCACGAACTCAGTTTCATTGCTACCAATACCAGAACTGCCATGACAGAACCAAGGAAATGAAATCAGACAATATTTCTGGAACAAATTTACCTGCAGGTTTATTGATTTTCTTCCAGATCTGAGGAAGACGGGTGTCAACAGTAATGGTGGAGACATAAGATTTCCAAGTCTACCGTTAAACTCTATGGATGGCCCTAAAGGCGACTGTACTCATCTTCCGAAACAAAATAAAAGAATCAGTGTCTGTCAGTGCCAGCATCTTTTCCAGGCTGTATACTTACAGTGTACAGCACGAGCAAGGAGCAGAGCAGAGGGCTGTGTCTAATAAGGTGTCACAAAAACAGAGGAGGGCTCTATAGAGAGAGGCAGATTCTATAGATAGGTTTAAAAAATTTATAATTACCTAAGTGTAGTTAAAGGATGAGAGCTACGCTTATGGTGTTCCCATCTTCCAAGTCCTCTTGTTATATAACGCTTTGAAACTACTGAGGGTGTTGGCCTCCACCACCTCACTTAGCTTGTTCCAACCGTCTACCACTGGTTGCAAAAGAAAACTTTCTAATATTCTGCAGATGAGGAGTCACAATAACGTGGCTAAAATATGTTGACCAAACCACACACTAGAAAGTGAAGAGACGACGACGTTTTGGTCCAGTAATGAATTCAAGAAGTATTTAAGATCAGGAAGAGAAAAGTAATATTCAGAGATTGAAAATGGGAAATAGATTCACGGAAAATGAAAAGGAAATGTGTGAAAAACTAGACGAAAAGTTCCAAAGTGTGTTTGTACAAAATGAAATCTTTAGGGAACCAGACACAATAAAAATTCCAGGGAACAACATAGAGCACATAGAGGTGTCTAGAGATGAAGTGGAAAAAATGCTCAAGGAGCTAAGTAAGAACAAAGCAGTTGGTCCAGATGGAGTTTCACCATGGGTTCTGAGAGAATGTGCACCTGAGCTCAGCATTCCACTTCAACTGATTTTTCAGGCATCCCTGTGTACAGGAGTTGTAGCTGATGTGTGGAAAAAAGCTAACATAGTTCGAATCTACAAAAGTGGAAACAGGGAAGACCCCCTTAATTATAGACCTGTATCATTGACAAGTGTAATAGTCAAAATATTGGAAAAAATAATTAAAACTAAATGGGTAGAACACCTGGAGGAAAACGATATAATATCAGACAGGCAGTATGGTTTTCGATCTGGAAGATCCTGTGTAATGAACTTCTCAGTTTTTATGATCGAGCCACAGAGATTTTACAGGAAAGAGATGGTTGGGTTGACTGCATCTATCTGGACCTAAAAAAGGCTTTCGACAGAGTTCCCCATAAGAGGTTGTTCTGGAAACTGGAACATATTGGAGGAGTGACAGGTAAGCCACTAACATGGATGAAAAATTTCCTAACTGACAGAAAAATGGGGGCTGTAATCAGAGGCAAGGTGTATCGGATTGGAGGAATGTTACGAAGTGGAGTACCACAGGGTTCAGTTCTTGCACCGGCAATGTTCATTGTCTACATAAACGATCTACCAGTGGGAATACAGAATTACATGAACATATTTGCTGATGATGCTAAGATAATAGGGAAGATAAGAAACCTAGATAATTGTCATGCCCTTCAAGAAGACCTGGATAAAATAAGTATATGGAGCAACACTTGGCAAATGGAATTTAATGTGAATAAATGCCATGTTATGGAATGTGGAATTGGAGAACATAGATCCCACACAACCTATAAATTATGTGATAAATCTTTAAAGAATTCTGACAAAGAAAGGGATCTAGGGGTGGTTCTAGATAGAAAACTGTCACCTGAGGACCACATTAATAACATTGTGCGAGTAGCCTATGCTACACTTTCTTACCTCAGAATTGTTTTTAAATACATGGATGGAGAAATACTAAAGAAATTGTTCACGACTTTTATTAGACCAAAGCTGGAATATGCAGCGGTTGTATGGTGCCCATATCTTAAGAAGCACATCAACAAACTGGAAAAGGTGCAATGACATGCCACTAAGTGGCTCCCAGAACTGAAGGACAAGAGCTACGAGGACAGGTTAGAGGCATTAAATATGCAAAAACTAGAAGATAGAAGAAAAAGAGGGTGATATGATCACTACCTTCAAAATAGTAACAGGAATCAATAAAATTGATAGGGAAGAATTCCTGAGACCCGGAACTTCAAGAACAAGAGGTCATAGATTTAAACTAATGAAACAAAGCTGCCGGAGAAATATACGAAAATTCACTTTTGTAAACAGAGTGGTAGATGGTTGGAACAAGTTAAGTGAGAAGGTGGTGGAGGCCAAAACCGTCAGTAATTTCAAAGCATTATATGACAGAGTGCTGGGGAGACGGGACACCATGAGTGTAGCTCTCATCCTGTAACTACACTTAGGTAATTACTTAGATAATTACCAAAGTCGAGCACCTCAACGTCCTCATGAAGCCAATCAGAATGGAGCTCCACGAGAGGTCAGAAACCGCACAACCAAGGCCAAGTGCAAGCAAGCACAACAGTCTTCTACCACACAGACCATCGACACCAAAGGCACCTGGGCATGGAGCTGCACTATGCCTGCATCCTAGAAAAGAGCGAGAGCAAACAAGCAGGATCGGTATGCAAGAGTCTGCTTAATTTCCCTTGCTTTTGGCATATTGAAATGCCAGAATGGACAGTTCTGTTCCCTTTGATATAAATGGCTGGAAGTCAGTTTTTTTTATTTACTCTTGAAAAGACATTCCTGTTGTTTCCATCACTGTCTGCTAGCTTCAGATTCTGATCATCCATGGGTGTGATATTTGTTGTGGTGGGTCTTCTATGTTGACTGAACCTACCTCCCAAGTGGTGTCCAATCATGCCGCTTCTATCCCCCAAGCACCTGTTATATGATACTGGTTTGCAGTCTTCAATTGAAGGTGGTGCAGCAGGAAATCTCTCATTTTTTCATGCTGAATATTCTGAGGCTTTGGTGATGTGAACTTATGCTAAATCCTGACATTACCCTGTTGTTTTCCCTACTGGGTAGGAAAAGGGGTTTTGATCTGTTCCTTTAGGCATCTATCTACTCCTGCTACCTACCTCCCTGCCTCTGCCTCTGTGATTGCTGAGGTATTGGTGCTGGATCTATCATAAGGTTATCTTGACATGATTTCAGGGCTTAGCGACCCTGCAACCCGGTCCTCGACCAGGCCTCCTTTTTTTATACCCCCCCAGGAAGCAGCTGTCTAACTCCCAGGTACCTATTCACTACTAGGTGAACAGGTGCATCAAGGTGAAAGAAACTCTGCTCATTTGTTTCCACCTCCTCCGGGAATCGAATCCGGACCCTTAGGACCATGAATCCTGAGTGCTGTCCACTCAGCCGTCAGGCCCCCCTCTCAGTTTGAGTGAGTAAAGGGAAGGTGGTGTCAGCTGTTTGTAACCTCAGGCTCTCCTTTTGATTAAACCATTGTGTTTGTGGGACAATTTAACTTAATACTGTATATTGAAATTACCTTGGATATATTTTAAGGAACAATATAAGATTATGCAGCCCTTCAGAAGGTCATTATTCTTCCGTAACAACTATCCTCAGTTCAAAATTGAAGCCAATGCATGCTTCTGTTTTTCAAAGTACATGTTTTCCCAAAGGAGCAAATAAATCAAAATATTTGCCATTAATTTGTATTTTACAAAAATAACTGGCATTTGTACATCATACTATGCAGGCAAACATTTCCTTTATTATTATTTTTTATTTAAACAAATAAAGAAAACATTATTTAATCTATCAGTTGACTTTTCTTCATCTTTATAAGAAAGTGTCGCATCCAGATCTGAAACGCCTAAATCATTAAGGACATACTGATCAGTCATATTATTTTTGGAAATAATAATGAAGCCTCTTCATAGTATCACAGAATTTAGCAAAATCAGAAGTTAAGCTTTTATTGATAACGAAATCAAATAAAATTTGTTCTCTGGAGAAACTCACTCCTCAAATACTGTGTGCTCAGTTTTGTGCCTTTGAAAACTCGAGCAGAAGGTTGGCAAACTGAGCAAGAGTGCAGCTGGTGCGAATGGCTTCAGGATCAAAGTGTGTTCGACTCGCTTTGTGTTTAGCGCGTCTAAGGTATTCTACAACTTTGTTGATTTTACCCAAGTCATGCCCTGTAAATAAAATTGGGAGGTTTACTTCACTAAGAATGAAAACAATAATACAAATTATATCTCTGAACATTTGTTTTTAAATACACCGTATAGTTATTGTATAATATGTGCATTTGTCTTTTCTAAATACAACAACCACTTGCCATCAATCTTCCTTCACTATTTTCATAACATTCCTATCCCTATTGTAGTACCGTGCAACCAATTTTAACCAAATGATTGTACCTATAGTGACTAAAGATGGAGTGTACAATATATAATGTTTCATCCTAAAAGTTCACATTTTGTACAGGGCTGCAGATAGAAGAGAACAACTAAGCCTAATCTTCTGTAGGACAAGTATATATACTGTACTGTACTTGTCATTAGAGACCACCAATATGGCTGAGGATGCTGCAAAGTTTGATTGTCTTATACTGTATCTGCTAAAAATGAGGAGCAGCCAATGGGATGGGAAGGGTTAAAAGGTTCCAGAGCCATGAGAGCACTGCAATAATAAATGAATATTGGCACATTAGTGCAGTAACTGTCTTAGATTAAATAAAATTGCATTCATAATGCGATTCGCATCTGTTGAAGAGAGATATGCTTAGCTATTCCGAATAATAACATGCTTATAGTACTGTACTGCCAAGTGTGACTGCTGTCCAGGGTCTTCCACCTGTCATTTAAAAAAACCAGCGTTGAATGTAATGAAATGCCATTTTCTGGGTGAGACCTGGAGGCTCCCTGGAGCTATCCGGGGCTGATATGAATGTATTAGACCCTGGCATCAGTCAAAACGAATGGAGTTCTTAGGCCTACTAAGGACCACGAGCCAGAACCCGACCCCTTCAGAGAGGCACGAAGAGCAATGGCCTATAGAAACGACCATGTGGTTGGAAGCATGCTATGTCTGCCATCGACCGGGTCAGGCACCCAGAAAGGTAGGTGCCCCAAAACAAACCCTATCTGATTAAAATATTGCTACCAAAAGCCGAACTGTTGGACAGAACCACCCCTCCCCAAACGAAAAACGAGCATGATGTACAGCTGTCACCGCACTCATTTACAAGGAAGAATGAGTCATAGCCAGGTTGTGGGGGCGACCTCCGGAGTCCTGATGGTCTCCAGGTCCAGCCGACAGTGGAAAGTAGTCTTCCTTTTTTTAAAGGTTATACGACAAAGAGTGCTGGGAAGACAGGACACCATGAGTATAGCTTTCATCCTGTAACTACACTTAGGTAATCACTTAGGTAATTACTGCTGTCTGTGCAGCTTCTCCCTCCCTGGGAGGGAGGAGGAGGAGTCCCAGATTCCTGTGCCAGCTATCCACACCATCAGTTCTGAGGCTGGATGTCAAAAAACCGCAAAAAAACCACCGACCGGAGGGAGGGAGGGAGGGGGGGGTTGCCGGGAAGCCTCCGGGTCTCACCCAGAAAATGGCATTTCATTTCATTCAACACTGATTTTCTGGGGGGAGTCCATTTGGCTTCCTGGAGCTACTTAACCAAAGATAAACCAAGAGGGACTTACCCGGGAGGCTGTCGCCACTCGCTCTGACCCCACCACAACCAGCCCAGTCTGCTGCCTCCACCAAGATCACCCTTTTACCAGTCCTCCTTCACCTTGCGGACAAAATAGCAAGCAAAGACATTACCCGCTATATCCACGTCATCAACAGGCTGCTTGTCGCGAATGGACTTCCAACAGCGGTTGTACCTTATGACCTTCCAGCTTCCACTTATTACTGCTTATTAAAACCTACGAAGGAACGAGAAATAACAAAAGGACCTCCGGGAAACTTCATACTGCCGCTGAGATGAGACACAGGTATGACACCATCAATGAAGCCACCTGTTCACTATACAAATGGTGATAGACCCACGTCAGAAAGACCAGACCTGAAGACTTGTGAAGATCGAACCAGCAATGTAACAGATTGGCCCGATTTGTTGAAAGAGGCAGAGCTGCAGGAAGACCTCCGAGTTCAAACACTGAGTAAGCAGCGCCTGAAACCAAGGCTGGGCCAGCCACCAAAGGGCCAAGAGGACTACTCTCCCTTGGCAAGTCTCCAAGCGAGCTAGGAACAGGAGCAACAGTGGAACCGGGGTGAAGAGGAACAAGTAACTCCACCTCGACCAGTCCTGTCTGAAGACATCGACTCCAATGGCCTCGCAGTCAGGGAAGGGTGCCACATATACCAGGAGACGCCTCGACCACGCCGATGCAAAGAGGTCCACCTCCTGAAGCCTGTACGTCTGGCAGAGTCAACTGAACGAGTTGGCGTCAACCGTCCATTCCGTGGACAGGGAAATGAACCATGATAGGCCATCCGCCAGGACGTTGGACACCCCTCGAACGTAAATGGCTAAGAGAGCTAAACCCTGAGAACTCGGTAGACAAGTCATCCAAAGTGACCAGCCACAAAGAGCCAAGAACCACATTGAACCCCAGTGAGTCAGGCAATGAACCACCGGGGAGCAATCCGAATGGAGCCGGATCGTTGATTTGCAAGTGACCTGAACCCTGCGGAACGACATCCACACAGCCACGAACTCCTGCACCATGCTGTCAGCCCGACGGAAGAATGGACCCCACCGCCCCTGGCTGGCCTGGTGGGCACTGGTCACAAGGCCCCTGCCAAGAGACAACGCTTCTGTGAACACATCGAGCGAGGGCTGAGGTAGGCGCCAAGACACTGAACCTCGAAAAACCTGAAGAGGAAGCTGGCGACGCAGCAGGCGACGTAAGGCATCCATAGGCCGAACCCAGTGATTGTGAGAGAGGCGGAAGGGTTCAGAAGTCCCCAAAGGAACCAGAACAGCTGACGAAGCCAAACCCAACCCGGCGGGTAGAGCATCACGGCAAAGTTCAGAGTCCCACACAAACCCTCGAGTAACCGCCTTGTGACCCAAGAGCCCCCCCCCAGAAACAGACAAAGGCAGGACTGTAGCCACAGCAAAGCCTCTGGAGGGAGAGACAAGGAAGCGGTCCGAGAGTCCCACAAGACTGAACCTGAGAGGGACCCTGATAGGACTTCCTCCAGTTCACCAGGAACCCAAACCTGATGAGATGGGAAAGAACTAAATCCCTGGCGAGCAGACATTCTGACTGGCTGGGAGCCCACACCAGCCGGTCGGCAAGTTAGGCCAGAACCCGAACCCCTAAGAGACGCAGACGGGCCACCCCAACCTGAGTAAGGCACGTGAAAATGAGAGGTGCCAGATTCAAGCCGAATGGAAAACAACGAAAGCAGTAAACCTGATGCCCCACAACAAAACTAAGCCAATCCCCTGAACCTCGGATGAATTGGGATGTGCCAATACATGTCCCGGAGGTCCAGGTACACCATCTAAGCGCCTGGCTCCAACAGAAACTGGACCTGGGACAGAGTAGTCATACGAAAGGAGGGGGCAATAAATCCAGGGGTTCAGACAGGACAAGTCCAGAGTCCAGGACCTGCGCGGACCTGCAGGTCTGCGCAGTCCTGTTTCGGAACCGGAAACAGGCGGGAAACCCACCTGAGGGACGAAGATGTTTTGATCAAGGGAATCAACTCCAAGATGACCCAACAGAGCACAGGAGAAGAGGCCTGCCCTGCCAGCCCCAAATTCTCCAGAGGAGGAGGGCGACTTAACGCTACCGCAGGCCGCAAGAAATGACCCGAAAGCCCACAAATCGTTGGACCAGGCGTGAGCAAACAGCGCAAGCCTCCCCCCCATATTGCTCCATCAATGGGACGAACCGCTAAAGGGCCGATACCCCTTACGAGAAGCTGACTTACGAGCAGAGCGATCACCGCGCCGACCAGTCGTTGTCGGTTCCGAAGGCTGTGCCGGCTCTGAAACTGACACCACTGGCCGACCATAATGGGAGGAACACCCCAAGCCCTGGCACGATCCTTCTGGGAAGACCCCCCACAGGCCCCCCCGGAGAAGCAACAAGTTCGACATGGGACGATAACTAGAAACCGCCGCCTGCAGATACTGCACCACCACAGACACTGCAAACAGCAAAGGACAAAAAGGCGTAGAGAACCTAAGAACCAGAGGCCAAAGCGGATTCCAAGGACTGAGCGAGCACCACCTACTGGTACGCGAGACGAGAAACAAGAACAGAGACACTGCCTCCCACAGGATCGGTGCAAACAGCTTCAACAGAGCAGCCAACGCCCAAACCGTTGAGACAACCACATCAGACCCAGGATCGTCCCTGAGTGCCTCTACGTCTTCCTCAAGCCAGTCTGAAGACATCTCGAGAAGGGAAAAGAAACGCAAGACCGAAGCCAAATGGCTATGGGCGCGCAAGTATTCAGCAACTAGGGAAGCTGAAAGGGAGGGAACCTGCACGTGAAGCTGTACCAGGCCGACATCTGAGGAAGGGTAGGGGTGAACAAACACGCACTGAGGCCCTCCCCCCCCCCCCCCGTGCGCCCCCCATATCATATGGGGGGGCGCACTGAGGCACCTCCCCATACGATCGACAGAACGTATGCCACCCCCCCCCCACCCCCCGAAAGGATAGGACAGTCTGCGAACCAGGAAGACTCCCGAACCTTGTAACACACCCAGTGAGGAAAAGAAGAACCAAACTCAAGAGAGGCAGGATCCATTATCGAGTAGAATCTGGGTTGCGCAGGAGGTATGCCACAATGGCCTCCCGCACCTCATGGGGCAGGATGCCGGGAGGCTGAAAACCTCTGGAAAGACAGAACCGAAAAGTACCTAGGGAAACCCGGAACTGAACCTGGGGAGGTGATGACGTCACATCAATCTCGTAAAAGGAGGGGGGATAAGAAAACCCCACTCCTTGCAGCAACAAGCCCCATTCAGAGAATACCAAAACCCAAGCGGGGTCAAATGGGGCTCAAGACCCCCAAGTCAGCCCCTCCCCTGCCCCAGGAACCTCCACATCAGGACGCGGGGACGAGCTGTCCTCCAAACCCTTAGCTTTAAAAGAAAAGGCAGAAGCTGCCAGAAAAGCTGGAACAAAGGGGGCCCACTGGACAGACCCAAAAGCACTGGCTGGAGGAACGGGATCGAATGCCTCCATCGCCACACTGGATGGGGCATCCCAGGAAACTACCCGAGTCTCACCAACTAAACCTCACTCCAACTCCGAAACCCTCAGACGCTTTGGATCCGGAAGCAGGAGAGGATGGGGGGTGGGGGTGGGGGGAAGAAGAGGACGAATAATAGGAGGGAAAAGACTGAGGGGGAGAGGGGGGCCCGGATGAAACCAAAGTCGAGGTGACTAACATCCCCAAGTCTGGGTACCTATAACCAAAACGAGGCAACCTCGGAGCATCCGAGTGAGCAACTAACATAGCACGCTGCAGCAACCTATAATGTGCATGCAACGCCGAAGCCGTCTGAACCCAAATATCATGATCAGTGGACTGGGTGAAGCGGAGTACATGCAAGCAACACCACTTGCAGGACAGGCAAGCCTGCCACGAGGCAGGCAAGGTAAGGCAAGGCAAGGCAAGGCAAGGAAAGGCAAGGCAAGGAGAGACTGGGAGGGAGGGAGGGAGGGAGGCAGGCAGGCAGGCAGGCAGGCAGGGAGGGAGGGAGGGAGGGAGGGAGGGAGGGAGGGAGGGAGGGAGGCAGGCAGGCAGGGAGGGAGGGAGGGAGGGAGGGAGGGGGAGGGAGGGAGGCAGGCAGGCAGGCAGGCAGGGAGGGAGGGACTAGGAGGTAGGCAGGGAGGGAGGCAGGGAGGAGAGACCAGCAGTAGTGATGGGGGAGGGGAGACCAGCAGTAGTGATGGGGGAGGGGAGACCAGCAGTAGTGATGGGGGAGGGGAGACCAGCAGTAGTGATGGGGGAGGGGAGACCAGCAGTAGTGATGGGGGAGGGGAGACCAGCAGTAGTGATGGGGGAGGGGAGACCAGCAGTAGTGATGGGGGAGGGGGACCAGCAGTAGTGATGGGGGAGGGGGACCAGCAGTAGTGATGGGGGAGGGGAGACCAGCAGTAGTGATGGGGGAGGGGAGACCAGCAATAGTGATGAGGGAGGGGGGACCAGCAGTAGTGATGGGGGAGGGGGGACCAGCAGTAGTGATGAGGGAGGGGGGACCAGCAGTAGTGATGAGGGAGGGGGGACCAGCAGTAGTGATGAGGGAGGGGGGACCAGCAGTAGTGATGAGGGAGGGGGGAGAGCAGTAGTGATGGGGGAGGGGGGACCAGCAGTAGTGATGGGGGAGGGGGGACCAGCAGTAGTGATGAGGGAGGGGGGACCAGCAGTAGTGATGAGGGAGGGGGGACCAGCAGTAGTGATGGGGGAGGGGGGGAGAGCAGTAGTGATGGGGGAGGGGGGACCAGCAGTAGTAATGGGGGAGGGGGGACCAGCAGTAGTGATGGGGGAGGGGGGACCAGCAGTAGTGATGGGGGAGGGGGGACCAGCAGTAGTGATGGGGGAGGGGGGACCAGCAGTAGTGATGGGGGAGGGGGGACCAGCAGTAGTGATGGGGGAGGGGGGACCAGCAGTAGTGATGGGGGAGGGGGGACCAGCAGTAGTGATGGGGGAGGGGGGACCAGCAGTAGTGATGGGGGAGGGGGGACCAGCAGTAGTGATGGGGGAGGGGGGACCAGCAGTAGTGATGGGGGAGGGGGGACCAGCAGTAGTGATGGGGGAGGGGGGACCAGCAGTAGTGATGGGGGAGGGGGGAGAGCAGTAGTGAGGGTGTGAAGGAGAAATGCATCAGGACCTCTCTTATTGGTAAGGGCAAACAAAATACTGTTGCATTTATGCTATGAACCTGTCGATTGTTTCCCCTAGATTTATTTTGTAAATTTTATCTTAATTTTATTTTTTTCTCTCCATTTTCCTCCATTTCTTGTTTACGAACAGACACGATAACTGACAGGTCTCGTCCCCAAGGGGATCGCAAACCAAGTGGTCCTCTGTATTTATAACTAAATTGTGAAAATTTGCATAAAAATGAGACAAAAAATAGAGGTTTCATGCTGTATGATAATATATGATTTATCAGCGCTACATCTGGCAAAGTTTTTTCCACGAGCCGCCACTGAAGTAGCCAATTTACCTTTAAAATAACTATCAATCAAGCGGGTCCCAAAACAAACATCAACGGGTTATTGCACCCATAAATGATATGGTATACCACATTATGTTAATACAAGTGTTTTAAAATTAGTCCAATGAGGCAATCTCAGCTAGAAACACTGCAGAAAAAAGTATCCATCATGGATACCTTACAAGTGTAGAAAAATCAAAATACTGTAGCAAACACTATTGCCATTACTGTAAATTAAATTTGTTATCTTTATCAGGTATGACAATTTAAAGTACAGTACATCAAAAGAATTGAGCACACATTCAAACATCCAATTTACTGTCTATACTTCATTTGTTTAAACTTTTCTTTAATATACAGTAACTGTATATTACAATAACCAATTTGTATATTACAGTAACCTCATGATCATCAAAAAGCGAAGAAAATTTCTCCTTGTCTAATGCAATTCAATGCACAAAAGAAACATTTTTTTATTTTAATTTCTAGTAAACTCATAAAAAATTAACTCTTACCTTTCGGTGAATGACGATGCAAGTTAAAGTAGAAAGCTGGTGACCTTGGCACAAAATGTTCAGTCTTTAAGCGTTTTGTTGGAGATTCCCCATCTGCTTCATCGTCAAGAGAATGGCACGAGTGGCCATGTAACCCTTCCTCTTCCTCTTCATCTTCTGCTCCAGCTAAGCTATCTTCTAATCCTTCTGTCAAAGTGTTCTCTTTGTCACCTCCTGTACTTACCTCAGTCCCAGGATTATCCTTACATCTTGCTTCATTAACAATAGTCTGAAATGGGGCCCAAAACACTATATCAGCAGACCTGTTTTGCAAGGTGTATAATTTTGATGAAGTGCAGGTTTAACATTGCTGTTTACAACAAAGCAGCAAAAAAACCCAGCGTTGAATGTAATGAAACGCCATTTTCTGGGTGAGACCCAGAAGCTCCCCGGAGCTTTACCAGGCTGATACGCTAATGTCACATGACTGATGCCAAAGTCTGACATTAGCATATCAGCCTGGTAAAGCTCCGGGGAGCCGACGGGGCTCCCCCCAGAAAAGCTATTTTAAAATGCCTATGAAAGAAGGAACTAGGCAACCAAGTTAAAGATCTGGATAAATATACCGTACCTCTACTGTACTGGTACAAGCTTGTAGGTAGTTGCCAATACCCTTCTAGACTTGCCGGAGAATCTTACACGGGTTCATGTATTTACCATCTCTTGATCATTGAAAAGTGGTCAAGACTTATGTGCAGTTTATTGTGATAGTGTCTATATTACATAAAAGTAATCAATTAAATCATACAGGGTTCACTGGAGGAGTGGAAAACAGACAATACGATGAGATTCATTGAGAAAATCAGTAGGGACCTTGAGAAGGATTCAAACCTGCTTACTTGGTGCTCCCAAGCTAGCGCCATAGACCACTACACCACAACAAGGTCAAAAGCAGTGCAACCTGGGATTCAGCTGAATCCACTAGGAGTCCTGAGGCTCCCAACCGGAGCACAAGCCCAGGGCTTCCTGTCCCGCGTTCTCTCTGGCTCGTAGTCAAGTAGTTTACCTCCAACACTTCACGTCAAATGCAAAATTAAATCACATTAACGTGATGTGTCAATGATAAAGTCAGGAGGAACCTTGAGGAGGACTCAAACATGGTGCGAATCCTCCTAAAGGATCCTACTGATTTTCTCACTGATACATCACCTCCTTATGCTGTGATTTCATTGTGCAAGAGATACACTGTAATTTTGGCCAACTTTTCTGACATTAATCTTTACAGATCAATACAGTATAGTAAATGGCTATAGATGGGATTACTGTACTCAATAGCTTTAAAAATCTGAAACTAATTACTAATTCTTATGTACCCTCCTTGCAAAGATACTACAGTATATTATTAAATTAATTTGATAAGATTTTGATTGATGAAAGTATAGTAACTTACAGGACATTTACAGCCATACCGTAAGAAGACTGGTGACTTTGTGTGGCATCTGTAGACTGGTACCTCGGGACAACATTGCCTGACAGAAAGCTGGATCGAAGATCTCATCACACCACACTGGACCCAGTTCTACAGCCAATTTGCCTGCACTCTTGCTTCGACAGTCACATGATAGTAATGAATAAGGTTGTTCTGGGGGAAAATTTGTTTGAAATTGCATACATTATAATAAATCAAATTAATTTACACAAAATTATATCCTACAGGTAATTTCTTTGCATTATCAAATGGAGCTCTATTTTAACAAACAAATGCTCTTATCTAAATTGTAAAAATCAATCATTCCCCAAAAGTACAGCAAACTTCTGGTTCTACACATGTATGTATTGCATGAGACCTCTTACAGAACTGGAGACCATAATATATTGTTATGGCTTTCATTGGATAATAATAATAATCTTGGTCTAAAAATACAGTACTGTATGTGCAGTTGAATTTTAACATTAATTTATACAATGTACAGTTAAATTTATGTAATACAGTGGAACCTCTATTAACGAGTTTAATCCGTTCTGGCACCGAGCTCGTTACCTGGAAAACTCGTCTTTGGAAACAAATTTCCCCATTTAAAATAAAGGAAATAAATTTAATCCGTTCCACTCCCAAAAACATCCATACTTATATGACTTTTTTTTATGTAAATATAATATTGCACATGTAAATATAAATGTTTTGTTGTAGTGTTTTAATATTTATTTACCTTATGAAGAGTAGTTGCTGGCTTGAGGGAGACGATGGGGAGGTGGGAAGGATGAGAGGGGTTATGGTGTGGAAGGAGAATCCACCTCTGAGTCAGGCGGACTCTCTCTTCTTGGGAATTTCACCCAAATTTCATTTCAAATGTCACACAAGGATGCGTTAGACCAGCACCAAATAAAAAACTATGTTGATTACACTCGTTGTGTCAACAATATAAGTCTTACCACGAAGATACAATACAATGCCGTTTTCTCAAATAGGCAATGTGGTTATTAAAGAAAACGGAAATTTCATGGCAAACATTTATACAATCCCCAAGTCGATCGGATAAGAATTGGATTTTATAGAAATATTTGCTCAAATGACGCTTGAGCGCGGTGTTTGGGTGCATTCAAGAGAAAAAAAGTGTGTTACGTTCAAGCGACATATACCTGCAAAAGTGATAACACTTTCATAAAGTGTTATCACAAAGTGATAAATTAATTAAACATTTTTACACACCGGGTTGTCACTGCTTTATCAGGGCAGCTTTTCCAAGAATGCGTTCACCTTTTCAAACATTCCAAACACTTCCCTGATCTCAGTGGAAGAGGCAGCATCCTCCCTTACCTCCTCATTCCCTTACTAATGGTGTAAATTGTTGATGAGGACCTGCCATACTTCCTTGTGAGATCAATCACACAGACACCACACTCATGCTTTGCTATAATTTCCTTCTTTAAATCCACAGTAATTGTGTCTTTCTTCCTCTTGACAACACTATCTTTAGCAAGCAGCTTCTTTGGAGACATCGTGTGTTACAAATTGTAGTCGCAAAACCACTAAAAACCCAAAGAAAAGCTCAAATAAATCCATAAGCTTGTCGTGTGAGATACAACAACAACACTGGCGTCGGAGGCGTCCGAGAATTTGCGAGAACCCGCGAGACGCTAGAAAGCGCCATGTGGTTTCACTCGTTAATAGAGGCGAGCTCGTCAATAGAGACAAATTTGCTGCGAGTGGCTTGCTCGTTACTGGAAAAACTCGTTAATAGAGCCACTCGTTAATAGAGGTTCCACTGTACTTTTATTGTATTAAAATTAATTAAACAAATACAGTTGAAGATACTTTATTCTCATTTAAAAATATTGAATTTCCATGAAAAGGACCATTCTTAGCATGATCCTCAGCCACTCCTTCAGGTTAGACCCAACTGGATCCCAAGGTCAGGATAAGTACAGTCAGGGCAGGGTGACATCCTGCACCAGCACTGCAGGGGTGAGAGGGAGGGGTCAGAAAAGGGCAAGGGAGAAAGTGATGAGAGAGGCAAGAAAGGGGGAAGGGGGAAGGGATGAGTGGGGGTGAGAAAGTAGCAAGGGGGGGAAAGGGATGAGAGGGGTGAAGAGGGGCAGGAAATGTGGGGAGTGAGAGTGTGATCTAAACACAAGTTCACTGCACAAACTAGGCACACACTCAAACCCAGTTAGAAAGTGTCAAGCTAGATTGGATTGAGGATACAGTTATGATTTTTTTTTTTTACACAGTACAAAGGAGGCCTGGTCAGAGATCGGGCTGTGGGAACATTTAGCCCCGAAATCAATGCAAGATATCATAAGATACTGTATTGCAGGTGGATACAGGAGTAGATACTTTCTAACTCCTTTTAATCAGTTGAGAGCTTTCCCTTCCCTTAGCTCACAGTAAGCCTCATCCTACTAGTGTTCCCTGGAACACAACCCACCAGTTGGTTTTACTCCCAGGTCCCCAATTTTTACTGGATGAATAGCGGTGCACAGGGGTGGATTGACTTTCGGTAAGTCTTCCGCAAGCTTTGCCATGGGCTGAGTGTGTGTACTGTATATACATATCTAATTACTAGGGCACCTACTAGTCATCCCCAGGATGCAGACCCAGAAGCTACCTAACTCCCAGGTAACTAACTATTTACTCCCAGGTGAGCAGAGGCATGAGGTGAAAGAAAACACTGCCAATTTGTTCCTGCATTGGCAGTCAGGAGTAGTGGCTGAGGGAGGAGAGGATAATTTCCTGGTTATCAGAGAATTACTGAACTTGGTCGTCATGTTTGATCTAGAGGAGCACTTGGAAGGGCTTAGAGTTCCTTAAACTGAATGTTCTCCATGGATCCCTAGCATCAGTATGACCCTGCCTGGGCTTGTAGACATTAGCCTTGCAGTGCTGGGGCAGTGTTACCTGGCCCTAACTCTACACATCCTGTCCACCACACTTGGATACATCTTGCTGCATGGAGTGAACAAGGGGGATTTGAAATCATAAACTATTTTTGGTTCTGTTATGAGTAAAGTCAAATTTACAGATTTTTTTCTTTATTAAAATGATGGTTGTATACTTATGCATTTAAAGCAATTTAAAATGAAAAGTTGGGAAAATTATGCTCTTTCTACCAATAAACCACAGTGGTGTAAAACTGAAAAATTCTCTTACTTGCAACCCAAAATAGAAGTGTTGAGCTTAAAATCTGTGTGCAGACCTGGGAGTCTTTTGTACAGTATTTATGAAGGATTATTGATCAATATTTCATTAGACCCACATAACTTTTACTCAAAATACTGTACGTAATGCAGTGCAGTAAATGCAGTACATGAAGTACAGTACATGAAGTGTAACTTACCTAGAGGATAGACAGTCTGAGGATAAAATGCCCTGTCCTCACACATACAACAGTGGATGATGCGGCTGATTTTACGGACGCACTTATTTGCCGCCGAGGGACCACGTATGACACGTACAATGACAGTAATGAAGCTCTTCAAGGCAACACAACATAAAACTTCAATACCTTTGTTACATTTTGCAGCAGATCTGGAAATGAAGACAATTTTGAAACACTGTACTGTAACTATAGCACCTCGTGCAGGGAGGTCTGTAATGGTAATGCTGCATGATATACACCTTCATATTCTTCAAGTAAATAACAACTAAACAAAAAATTTATGACATTTTTCTAACAGCACAATTAAAAATCTTAAGTGTGTTGCTAAGCCTCTGGATATTAGTTTGGCGTGTTTCAGTGGTTGTTCCATTGCCATTCTTTTGTCTGTATGCACTACAACTTCTAAGTCCTATACTAGTAATTATTTGTGGTTATTTGTTAACAATATGTGAACCAGTATACATTAATGACGATAAAAACCTTAATAGACTGTGTTATATGATGTTTCAGTGTTGGAATTGCTCGGCTCTTTGTTTGGAACACAAGTCTATTATGATAGCACTAACCCTCAGTCATACTGAACCTTAAATGATTCTATTATGTTTTATAATCATAGTTAGTAGTGTCATAGTAACAGAAATTGGTTTGGATTAGTTATCAAAGTTCATGTTATCTCGTAATCTTTGGCATTTGCTATTAACTTTTAGTGTTCAGAATTAATTTTAACATGTGATTTTAGTCTTCCCACATTGATCCTCCTTATGCCAGATTTCTGTATATCTAATGAAGCTGCACATGTGGACAAGAACACTAGCCTGATTCCTTTCAATTTCTGTTTACAGTGGCTTATTGTGCAAATAAACACATACATATAATACATACATATTTACACATACAGTATATATGTAATATGCATACACTACATTTAAATTTTATTCAGTTATTGGTGAAAAGAGGTCATCACATGCGTCAATAACAATAGGCTGAAACAATCAACATCTACAAAAACAATGCATGTAAATAAACAAAAGCTATTACATGGCTAAACAAATTCAAAACACTGTATCTCCAATCATAACCATGACTTTCTTTCCTCCAAAACAAAAACAATTTGGGAAAATGTAATTTCCGGACTAAATTTACATAAAGATGCAACTTATGAAAGATATTGCTTTCAGCTTAAAAGTTATACCCATCAATTACCCGGCAAGCCTTGCTTTCATTATACTGTATGCCTGTATATTTAACTGCATTAGTGTGTTGTATAATTACCATTCTATGTTTACACCACATAGACATAGGTCTGTAATAAAGCTACCAATTATTATTATTAATGGTATATGTACAATGTAATCTTCAAGCTTACTCAGTACTGTTGCTTGAAGAGAACACTGTATAACACTATACACTTGTCTTCAACTTACCTAACAACACTTGCCAGTACTAGTCTTGCTGCTAGCTCTTTGGCATATGAAGTTTTAACAACATAGCCACCATAGTTTCTCAGTGTTACATCTGCAGCTTTTCCATACAGAGCTGCATCATCAGTAGAGGTAATTGCCAGGATGCCATACTTTGGTGCATTACGAAATGCTGCATCAAGATAATGAACTGAAGACCCATAACAGTCTAAAAATCTGTAGACAATTGCAAAAATAACTATTAGCCATCCTTGTACAAATTTAATTGAATTTTAATTTTTATTGCAGCAATTTTTTTTACACCAATCAAGTTGGTGTAGAATCACATTGCTATATGGTATTCAGACAATTGTTTTTGTGCTATATTTAGACAATAAGGTATTTAATACAGTATAAATAATAGAAACTGCTGCAAGGTGCCATCACCGACCCCAATACGAGGTTCCATGACTCTAGTGTCCCCATATTTTCCCTGATGCAAACAAGCTCTGTGCACAGGGAAATAAAGCACACACACAGGAAGGGCCTGCATTAACTAAGTGCGCTGCTTAGAGAGATGCTTTCCAGCCACTCAAAAGTATTACATATGAGCCATCACACTCAGTTAGTCTTTAATCACTGCACTGCACAACGCGCCTTGAGGCGCTCGATCGGTGGTGTACAAGGCATTAAGTCTTTTTGCCAGGTGATAGGTTGGAGTTGGTATTTGGCTGATTATTGGGCGTAGTGGGAGTAAATGAGAATAAATTTCACCATGAGAATAAAAACAAGACCGGAACATAATGATGCCAACACACAAGACACTGCTCATCATAATAGGCCTATTACATCTGATTAATCATTGTACGTGCCCCTATTTACCCCCGTTTTCCACTTATGTTTTCACCTGACCCCATATTGGTATAAATCTACCGAGTTTTGTAATTTCTTATCACTTGAGAATGAACCACGCAGGTTCGAAACGTCGTGCGATTTTATAATAAGTGTAATACATTCTTCAGTTATTCAATTCTTTTCTTCATCTTGAAAACAACATGACTTTTGGTGAACTCCTCTTCCAGCTGAACCCTGATGCAAGAGCATTAGTAAGAGGGATAGAAGCCCTAAATCAGAAAATAGTAAATACGGAATATGCTATCATATTAAATGAGACATGCATAAAAAAAAACCTGCTGCCAGTATATATAATACTATATATAATACTATATATATATAAAAAACCTGCTGTCAGTATATATAATACTATATATAATACTATATATAATACTACCTCAAATACTACAGACAAATACTACCCCCCCCCCAAAAAAAAGGAAGGGGGTGGTAGGAGAAAAGCACACACAAACTGTATTGGAGGGGACCTAAACATTCCCTCTAATGCGTTATGTGTGGTTTCCTCTGAGGCTAAGGGTCCCCTTCTTCCAACCAGAGGTGGTACTCCCTTCCCATTGAATTAAAAAAAAAAAAAAAAAAAAAAAAAAAAAAAACAGCGTTGAATGTAATGAAACGCCATTTTCTGGGTGAGCCCCGGAGGCTCCCTGGAGCTTATCGGGCTAATGTATGTTATATTAGACCGGGACATTAGCTAAGGAGTTCAGACCTACCAGGGACCAGCGCCAGAACCTGGCTCCTTCAGAGAGGTTTCAGGGAACAATGGCCCTTGAAAATCCCCTTGTGTTTGGGGGTTTTCCTTATCTGCCATTGACTGGGGTCAGGCACCCAGAAAGGTAGGCATGACAAAACAAACCCCACATGGTAAAAAACTAAAACAAAAAACCGAACAGAGAGGTAGAAACTCCATACAATCCCAAGGAAACAAGCAAACATCACACTCTACTGCAACGCCGATCGTCCTCGCAGCCCTCCCCGCCCGAGAGGGGGAGGGGGGAAGCCCCGGACCTACCGCGCCGGCTGCCTAGCTTCAGTTCGTAAGCTCCAGGAAGCTGTAGGGGCTCTCCACAGAAAATTTGATTTTATTAAATCAACAACCAAGGGGCTACATGGCCAAATAACAATAAGAATTTTCATTGCACCACTATACGCAAGTCTTCAAAATATCAACCCTACCCGCCAAACACACAACGAAACTACGACGTTGCAACAACGTTCGAACAAGCTTTAACACCCCCTAACCAGTTATAACAACCAATATAGCAAGTTGTAACAACGTTTTAATACGTCATAAACACGTTAAGCCAAGATTTAACAACTTTATTACAAGTTGTAACAAGCAGAAAATAGGGACAGTTATGGTTTGTCTTTTCAGGGCTATACATAAAAGTATTCTCCAGATATTGCACAGATGCCACAAACACACACACACACACACTTAAGAAGTGCTAAGCTCTTTGTACTCTTAGGAAGAGTCACGGCCTCGGAGTGGGGTCTGTCGCTGGTAGCCGGACACCAGTGAACCCAGAGAGTCACCAGGTCGAACCCAGAGAGTCTCAACATTTTTAAACAGAATGGTAGACAGTTGGAACAAGTTAGGTGAGAAGGTGGTGGAGGCCAAGACCGTCAGTAGTTTCAAAGCGTTATATGACAAAGAGTGCTGGGAAGACAGGACACCACGAGTTTAACTCTCATCCTGTAACTACACTTAGGTAATTACACACACACACACACACACCAGGAAAGAAGAAGAGGTATTTGACATCCAGTACCTTCCTCCTTTGGGAAAGAGTGATTACGTCCTCTTGGACATTAAATAGGCTATGTGATATAATCTAGTAGAGAATGGGGACAGTGAAACAGTTGTTAAACTCGATTTCAAGAGAGGACGCTATGGGGAACTTAGAAATTTTTTACTTGGGTGTGATTGGACAGACGTGTTGCTAGAAAAGGAAGTAAATGAGATGTATGCCAAATTCTGCACAATATACTGTATGATGAAGGCACACAAACATTCATACCAAAACAGACATGCAGACCTAGGAAACAGGGTTGGGTCAACAGAAATTGCCAGAGGGCCAGAGATCAAAAGACACAAGCATGGAATCATTATAGAAAGAGGCCAAACCCCCAAACATACCAGCAATACAAAGAGGCAAGAAACAACATGTTAGTAAGGAGAGAGGCAGAGAGGAACTTTGAGAACAGTATAGCAGACAAATGTAAATCAGATCCAGGCCTTTTCTATAAATTCATTAAAAGCAAGCTGCAGGTAAAGGATAATATTCAGAGGTTGAAAATGGGGAACAGATACACGGAAAATGAAAAGGAAATGTGTGAAACATTAAACTTAAAGTTCCAAAGTGTGTTTGTACAAAATGAGATTTTCAGGGAACCAGACACAATAAGAATTCCAGAGAGCAACATAGAGCGTATAGAGGTGTCTAGAGATGAAGTGGAAAATATGCTAAAGGAGCTAAGTAAGAACAAAGCAGTTGGTCCAGATGGAGTTTCACCATGGGTACTGAAAGAATGTGCATCTGAGCTCAGCATTCCACGTCACCTGATCTTTCAGGCATCCCTGTGTACTGGAATCGTAGCAGACGTGTGGAAAAAGGATAACATAGTTCCAATCTACAAAAGTGGCAGCAGGGAAGACCCCCTCAATTATAGACCTGTATCATTGACAAGTGTAATAGTGAAAATATTGGAAAAAATAATAAAAACTAAATGGGTAGAACACCTGGAGAGAAATGATATAATATCAGACAGGCAGTATGGTTTTCAATCTGGAAGATCCTGTGTATCGAATTTATTCAGATTCTATGATCGAGCCACAGAGATTATACAGGAAAGAGATGGTTGGGTTGACTGCATCTATCTGGACCTAAAAAAGGCTTTCAACAGAGTTCCACATAAGAGGTTGTTCTGGAAACTGGAAAATATTGGAGGGGTGACAGGTAAGCTTCTAACATGGATGAAAGATTTTCTGACTGATAGAAAAATGAGGGCAGTAATCAGAGGTAATGTATCGGACTGAAAAAATGTCACAAGTGGAGTACCACAGGGTTCAGTTCTTGCACCAGTGATGTTCAATGTCTACATAAATGATCTACCAGTTGGTATACAGAATTATATAAACATGTTTGCTGATGATGCTAAGATAATAGGAAGGATAAGAAACTTAGATGATTGTCATGCCCTTCAAGAAGACCTGGACAAAAGTATATGGAGCACCACTTGGCAAATGGAATTCAATGTGAATAAATGCCATGTTATGGAATGTGGAATAGGAAAACATAGACCCCACACAACCTATAAATTATGTGAGAAATCTTTAAAGAATTCTGATAAAGAAAGAGATCTAGGGGTGGTTCTAGATAGAAAACTATCACCTGAGGACTACAAGGAACGTTGTGCGTGGAGCCTATGCCACACTTTCTAACTTCAGAATTGCTTTTAAATACATGGATGGCAAAATACTAAAGAAATTGTTCACGATTTTTGCTAGGCCAAAGCTAGAATATGCAGTGGTTGTGTGGTGCCCATATCTTAAGAAGTACATCAACAAACTGGAAAAGGTGCAAAGACATGCTACTAAGTGGCTCCCAGAACTGAAGGGCAAGAGCTACGAGGAGAGGTTAGAGGCATTAAATATGCCAAAACTAGAAGACAGAAGAAAAAGAGGTGATATGGTCACTACGTACAAAATATTAACTGGAATTAATAAAATCGATAGGGAAGATATCCCGAGACCTGGAACTTCAAGAACAAGAGGTCATAGATTTAAACTAACTAAACAAAGATGTCGAAGAAATATAAGAAAATTCACTTTCACAAACAGAGTGGTAGACGGTTGGAACAAGTTAAGTGAGAAGGTGACGGAGGCCAAAACCGTCAGAAGCTTCAAAGTGTTATACGACAAAGAGTGCTGGGTAGACGGGACACCACGAGCGTAGCTCTCATCCTGTAACTACACTTAGGTAATTACACACAAACAACTTGGAGGGTGAGCATCACACTGAGGAGTCACACTGGTGCAGGCTCCAGGATAATTAAAATTATCTACGTGTTGGGAGTAGGGTGAAGGTTGCAAGTGGTGTCCCAGAATATATAAAGGTGTAGGGAATTTGAAAAGTAACTAAGAGATAAGATATAATTGTCTGTGAATGAAAAATCTTGGCTAGAAAAGTCGATCTTTCAAAACAGCAGAATGTCAACAAAGATGGCTGCCACCACAGGGGAGGACAGCACCCCAACAAAGATATGTTATGCAGGTTTCTCACAACAAGATATAATGAAAGGTGGTTTTCTTGGAAGGTTAGTGATTATTGAGGACATGCTAAAGAATTATGAAGAAAAGATAATTAAATTAGAACAAGAAAATGAAGGTCTCAAGATTGAGTTTTGTAATTTAAAATTAAGTATTTTCCAGCAAGGTAAGGAAATTACCAGCTTGACTAATAAGGTAAGGATACAGGAGGAACACATCAAGGAACTAGTAAAGGATAATGAGGTATGGAAAGTGAAGAGTAGGACATTTAAAGAAATTAACAAGAAAATAGACTCATATGGTGAACAACTCCAAGGGAGCCTGAGGACAAACATGGAGTTAGGCAAGGAGATGCAATGAGAAACTTCATTGACAACTCACAGAGAGGAGGTTAATAAAGAACTAGCAAAGTATAAAGAAGAAATAAGAGACATATGCGCAAGTTGTAAAAGAGAAAGATACGATTAAGGAAATGTGTTTGGAAGTCAAAACCAGAAATGACAAACAAAAAGCAGATCTTAGGCAAGCAATTAGGAAAGAACTGGTTACCAACCGTAAACTTGTACAAAACACTGTAGATAGAAGCAAGTCCATAATAATTTTTGGATGTTTAGAGAAGGAAATTTCATCTAGGGTGGACAGAGCAGCAGAAGAGATGAAAATCATAGAAGAAATTGTAGGATTAGGAGAAGGCCTAAATTCAAAGGAGCATGTCAATGATTTTAGGAGGATAGGAAAATATGAGAACAATGGAGTGAAGTATATGGCAGAAGTGCTTTAGAATGCCAGAAAATTGCAATGTGACGAGGATGACAAACTTTGGTCAATAAGACAAGACCTTTCAAAGGAGGACAGAGAAAAGCTGAAAATGAACCTCATTGAAGTGAAACATCTAAATGGGGATAGAAATGAAGAAGAAAGGAATTCTATTTTCTACAAAGTTTCAGGGACTGGAAAGCTTGTGAAATGGTACATAAAGACAAAGCAACAAAATCATTAAAGGAAAGGGTTGTAAAGAACAAAGGGAAGGGGATCATGTTCCTGAAAATAGTATATACCGACATAAAGTACACAGTACAGTACTATACTGCAATTTAATTACAACTCACTCAATTATAAATAAATGTGTCAGGGGACAAGCATTTGTTTGTACATATAGTACATGTTAGGTTTACATCAAGGTCCCTCCCAGGGTCTAATTACTGACCCTTAACCAGGATGCAATACCACAACAAGCTGGCTAACTCTTGAGTAACTACTGACTGGTCGTAAACAGGAATATTAAGTGATAGGACATGAGTCCAACTATTTCTGTCCTGCCCGGGATAATAAACATAATAAATCTTCTAGTCTATCATCAATGTATCTGTCCATAAATGTATCTATTCAGCTACTTACATAAAATCAAAAGGTCTCTGGTGCAATAGAACACTGACATCCTCTGTGGTAATTTCAACATGGAGTCCATTAGCAACAGCATTCTCCTGGATTCTCTGAGTGGCTGCAGGAAGCTGATCATTTATTATGACGGCAACCTGCATAATACATTATGTTCACTCCATTTTTGTTATGACAATACAGAAAAAGAAAGAATTCATGACTACAATATTTAAATAGCCAGATTACAAGACAGTTATAAACATGATATAGACATGCACGTACTAGTGGCTCTACAAGATTGTAAATACCATGCTATGTATTCTCACAAACCCAATGTACCTTCTTGTATATAAATAAATAAATAAATAAATAAATAAATGAATAAATAAATAAATAAATAAATAAATAAATACAATAATGAATTATAAGCATTACACACCTTTGGTATTTGTCGAGCCCAGGCCAAGCCAGAAACACCTGTGGCACCAAGAGCATCTAGACATCGTATCTGGCCATTAAGGCATTTGCCAGACTCACTATATGCGGATAGTGCACACAGAACAAGAGATCTGTAGTATAAAATATATAAAAATTATCAGTACATAATATTATATATATATATATATATATATATATATATATATATATATATATATATATATATATATATATATATATATATATATATATATATATATATATGCGAACAAGCCTGAATGGTCCCCAGGCATTTATGCATCTGAAAACTCACACCCCAGAAGTGACTCGAACCCATACTGCCAGGAGCACTTTGCAACTGGTGTACAGGACACCTTAACCACTCGACCATCACGACCGGACAAAAGATGATGGTAGCCGAGGCTATTTTCCCATCATCCCGCCGGCACTCTGATGGTAATCTTGGGCATAATATTTTATCAAATCACCTCATTCTTTGGGGCACACGTGAGGAACACAAATGCGAACACGCCTGAATGGTCCCCAGGCATATCAAATGGGGAAAAAAGATGACGGGAAAATAGCCTCGGCTACCATCATCTTTTGTCCGGTCGTGATGGTCGAGTGGTTAAGATGTCCTGCACACCAGTTGCATAGTGCTCCTGGCAGTATGGGTTCGAGTCACTTCTGGGGTGTGAGATTTCAGCTTTATATATATATATGCTAATAATTTTGATCAACAATGAAGTTTATTATTTAAGTAAAAAATGATTAATATGGTACAGGCATACCTCAGAATAAGAGTTTAATCCGTTCCTGGAGACGCCTCGCCTTCCGAAAACTCGCATTCCGAAGTTAATTTCCCCATAAGAAATAAAGGGAAATGAATTAATCCGTTCCTGACTACCCCAAAAACCCCACATCAAACTAAATTTTTATACCTAATTCATCTAAATAAACCTACAAAACTGTGTTCCAGTTATTACTTACCTTACTGTCGAGTGCTGTAGGCGTATGGAAGATGGTGAGGAGGGGGGAGGAGGAGAGGAGTTACTGTTTGGAAGGGGAGTCCCCTTCCATAATCACATCACATAACCCCATGCCTTGTAACACTATGGATACCACTTCTCTTTCTAAATTTTTCAAACCAGCCCCTGCTTGCCTTAAACTCTTTCTTATCTGCATCACTCGTTGCAGGGGTATTCTTTAGAAGGTCTTCGTGCAACACCCTGGCTTTCTCACAAATAATGGCCTCCGAAACACTATCACCCCTCAACTCCTTGTCGTGTATCCAAATTAATAACAACTTTTCCACTTCTTCAAGTATTTGTGCCGTTAATGTTCTTACTCCTTTTGCCACTTTAGCACCCATAATCTTATTTTTCTTCTTAAGTATAGTGCATATTGTTGATGTGGCTTTGTTGTACTGCCTACAAAGTTCAACAACACGTGTACCGTTCTCATGCTTCCGAATGATCTCTTGTTTCTCCTCTATTGTCATCCTCACAGGAGCTTTCTGGCCTTTATCCTTACCACTGGCTTTCTTGGGACCCATGGTGAGATATATAATAACAAATTGTATAGACAAATCACCAAAAATCCAACAAAACACTGAAAATCCGCGAGAAGAATTGATGTGGGGGTAGTCACTGAGCGCCAGACAATAATAAACTGAGGGGCGGCGGGGCGGAGGGGCGACGAACGCGCTAGGTCGGCTGTACGCGTATCAACAAACTCGCGTCCAAACTCGCCTCCCGAAGTAACCCTCGCCTTCTGAGACAAATTTTTGGAGTAAATACACCTCGCCTTCCGAAAATCTCGCATACAGGGACAATCACATTCCGAGGTACCACTGTACAGCATACTGTACATTAAAGTATTCAATATGTTTAGTAGTCTCCAACCATGGTGGCTCTCTCCAGTTAGGCTGTCACTTGAGGTGCACAATTTTTACATGCTTTTGTTTGCTCTTTGATTAGCTCAGGGCTACTCTCACCCTTTTCCATCACTTGTGGTACAGTATGGTACAGGGTTTGGTGAATGCACACCAGGTACACTCCTCTCATGACTAGACTGTCTCCTTCAGGATTACTCCTCAGACTCAGGAGTTTCCTGCAGTTGATCTTGAATTTGCTGTTTGCAATTGCTGGAGTGCGCGTAGTTATTGTTTGACCCCATTGGCAGCGACTGTTGACTCCAATTTCACCCACATATGAGAATTTAAAGTCAGAGGTAAACCTTGATTCTATTTGAAGCCATGTCCCATGCCCTGCTCTTAACACTGCCAATACTTTGAAGGAATGTGCACTTAAGTATATGTGTCTCCACTATTTACGTCTCACATACATCAGATCTGCATATTCTCTGACTGAGCTATTTAACTGAAAATTTTAACAAAGAAGAAATTCAATAATATATATGAAAAGAAAAAGCTGTGTTGTAATTACAAAATTAAAATATTAAATAAAATCCCTATAGTTTACATGTAACTTTGTAAACTACTGAAGAAATAACTAACTTATTGTTAGTTACTGTATATCTTCTTAATATTATGGAGATATGCAAGAAATTAATACAGAACAGTATACTGTACATAATATAGGCTGGATGGCTATAAATTAAGAATGAAAATACAATACTACTAATAATTAAATAAGAATTGCTCCAGTTGGAAAATAATAGGTTGATGTTGGCATCATAGTTTAGGTTAGTGAAGGCATCATGACCTTGAAAGTGCACCACTTAGCTATTTGGATATAGCTTCGATGAGCACTGTACTGTCTGAATGCAAGATAACATCACACTATAACCAAAACAGTGAAAACAATTAGATTCTGTAACTGCTCATGTTCATTACTGAAATGTGCTGTGCTGCCTGTCACCAAGATCTGTCCAGAGTACTGCTGGAAATAGAACAGCATGGGATTAAGCTAATCAAATGTTGCACATTAACCCTCCCTGCATTAAAAGGAAACAATATCAGCAGATATTCTCACTGACATAGTAATCACTCCAATATTACTGTAACAATGTTATGTACTGTTTTCAAAGCAGGCCATACAAGAAAATGAACTATATATTATGAATTTACCTGAGGGCCACTAATACCTAGTGACTTCAACGAGGACAGGAAGCCGGCAGTTTGTCAAAGGTCCTCAATTTGTTTTACTGATTTTTTTCAACCTTGATTTTAAAGTTTAACCGAGTTTTGACATTTATGGCTTCGGCAGGTAGGCTTGAATGATGAAATCTGCCTAGCCTAACAATTGTGGACACTGTATATTAGATATAGGCCTATGGGGAACTGCACTTATTTAGACATAGGCCTATATGGAACTGCACTACAGTGTACTCTGATACAGGGAAAAACAATTATCACTATCCTGCTCATATCCAAACAGCATATTGCCCACACAGGCCACTATTCAACATATGCACAATCAGTAGTTTGGAAAAGGTTCATAATTCATACTTCTAAAGTTACACCTCAAAAGTGCTGATTATTTTTTCCATTATGGTACGGACCACTGGCAGTGGTCCATACCATAATGTTCATAATAATACTGTCATGTTCAAGTGTTCATAATAATTTTAAACCTGAGCAGTAATTTATTGATACATGTTTAAACTTTTTTTTACATCAAAATTTAAATAATAAAATATTGAATAAAAAAGGAGTATTATTTATTAAATAACACAACTAAAAGAAAGAGAACTAAATACAAATATTTACAATAATTTTACATTTGCAGCAGTTTAACCACTGCACTGCGCACTATGTCTTGAAGCGCTAGGTCTGCTGTGCACAACGCGACTCAGAGAGCTCGTAGTTATAGCGTACGCTTAAAAAATGGCACGTGGTGACGCAGGTACGAAATAGACGCCTGAGGCCTGCAGTGATGTCTGCCATTTTGAAAAAAAAATCCCAGCATGCCCCAAGGTCATGGATACCCTTAGTTTCAAGGAAATAACCATGTCTGAGGCATCATCTACGAGCTCTCGGTTCACGGGTCAGCCGCGGTCCTGCTAAACGACTCTCAGAGGAGAAAATATGGGACATATTGTATGATGATGGACCGATTGATGATGATTTAGATTACAGTCCTGAAAAAGACCTAATACAGGGGTCAGACTCGAGTGATGGGGACACTGAGGTGCACGCTGTCGCAAGTGTGAACAGTACACGCACCTCGCCTGGCCTCCCACAATGCCCTGGGTCAACACCGCTAAAGTTACCATCACCATCTGTGTCACTTGATGTGAGATTATGTGGTGATACTACATGTGATGAGTCATTTTCGTGCTTCAATAATATAGGCTCCGATACAAGCAGTGTTGACAAACCGAGTATAGGAGACTATGGTATTACTAGGTAGGATTTTACTGCCCCAGCAACATGCCGAGGTAAGCGAGTGTGTCACGTGGCCTGAGGACAAAGACGACAGTGCGCCCTCGACATCATGTGTTCGTGAGAGGCCTATTATACGCAGAACACTCATCTTCTGGCATACCCATACGCAGCTCTAGTACAAGACGATGGAGCTGTGGTGTTGGCACCGATACTAGTGGTGCTCGTGGTGGTGTTGGTGCCAAAACCAAAACCGCTGGTGTACTTATGTGGTAGGATTGCGAGAATTTTGTCCCACAAAGTTTTCATCACCATCCCACATTTGATGATATTGATGTTGGTGTGACACCCTCATTCCCTTATACTGGTGATGATATGCCTGAAATTAATAATTTTATGGCATATTTTGATCAGGAATTCATGGACCATCTCGTTGCAGATATGAAGCGATACTCTCACAGTCTCATTGACTTTGGCATTTTATTGGCTTTCAGCTCTGTGGCACTAGGGGCCCTAAGATAAAGAGGTGCCTGTGCCTGTACCAGTGCCTAGACGTTTGGCACCATATTGCCCCTACTTATTAAAGCTTACCTGTTCACTACCATGTCTGAGTTAAACATAACTTCATTCCTCTTGGGTGCCTGAATGGTGCCTTTAATGTTAATCTTAACACCGTGTTCCTCAATTTCTTCAGTCATAGTGTTGAGTTGCAAACTGCAGCCGCCGCCTACTGACGACTGTTTGTTGTTGTTGGTCACTTGGTACACACCACGGATCGCATACACACATTTCTATCAGTTCGACTACAAAATTTGTACGTTTCGTACATGCGTATGCTTGGTCAGTATTAAAACGATCCCTTTCGCAATCCGACTTCGCAATCTCAACACCATCAAGCTCGTATCTTGTAACTCTATCATCATTACCTAGCCTCAGAACTTTACATTTATCAGCATTAAACTGCAGACTCGGGTAAATTCAGGTAAAATATAAAAGTATATCTAACTCGTTTTCTTTGAAACGGTCTGAATAATTTGATTTCTGCAAATGAAATTTATCTGAGGGGTCACTGACATATATTGGTCTCGACGAAAGAAAGGATTAATAGAAATTCTAAGAGAGAATCAAATAGTTTCCGACTTTCATATTATTTCACCTGTCAGCTAATGATATTAGGTGAACATGCTTGTGCTTTAATTTTATTTAGTAGCCCCTCATATATAATATGGTATTAGTAGTAGAAGTAGTACATTGTACTACCTAAGCTTTTAATCAAAACAAAATGCATAAATTCACTACACAATTGAGGTTCTTATTTGTGTCTTATTTCATTGTAAAAGGAGTTAATTTCCAAACAGGGTTGTATAAATAAATCTTATCTTATCTTTGCATTCAATTTTGTACGGTAATTTTTCAAACTTAAAATGTAAATAGCTATATATATATACCCCCTCTAAATGAAAAATGGCCTAATTTAACATATGTGCTAAAAATATTAACATAAATAATTCGTTTGTTAGATAACAAGATATTCATAGCAATAAGGTTTCTTGGAATGGCCTATAATGCACGCAAATACTAGTTTACGCACTTTTCGGGTAGTACGCCTGGAATTTCAAAATGGCGTTCAAACGGCGGTTGGTGGTTGAAGGCTCAGCTGCTCGATCAGTAACGTCGCTGCCGCCAACGCGACAACATGTACCGCTGATTTCCGACAGCGGCGACATTGCTCCAGGTAAGAGTGATAATTCTTTTTGACATATTTATATCTTATATATACACAGTATATAGAATTATATAATATAATGGGGTTTCGCTATGGAGTTTGCTTCGAACAATGCCTATCAATGTTAGTTTAGTTCGTTTATTATGCACCCCATACCCATCTTGCCCGGTCGTCGACCAGGCCTCCTGGTTGCTGGACTGATCAACCAGGCTGTTGGACGCGGCTGCTCGTAGCCTGACGTATGAGTCACAGCCTGGTTGATCAGGTATCCTTTGGAGGTGCTTATCCAGTTCTCTCTTGAACACTGTGAGGGGTCGGCCAGTTATGCCCCTTATGTGTAGTGGAAGCGTGTTGAACAGTCTCGGGCCTCTGATGTTGATAGTTCTCTCTGAGTACCTGTTGTACCTCTGCTGGGCGGTAGTGGAAAGGGTTACAGAGGCACATAATGGGCTCAGGGACTGAACCCCACAATTCATTTAGCTAAGCAAGTTACAATCGTGATGAGCTAGTTACAAAATTCAATATAAGTCGTCACATCAACAATGGGTTCGAGATCGACCTCAAGTACAGGTTCTAAATTAAGCACCTGACATATGTGGAGAGCTAGTGTCACAATTTGTTTGTCCTGCACACCGCCCCCCATCCAGTGGGCAGGGGTGGATAGGTTACAATCACTCGGTTACTACCTACAGTTAGCAGACTGGGGATATTTGGCTAAAATTTCTGGTAGCAGATCAGGTCCCCCATTTGTTCCGATTTTTTTTCAAATTGGATTTTACAATTCAAGTGTTGTTATTTACTGCTTTAGCAGATAGGCGGTTCCATGGGTTTATAACCCTGTGGGTGAAAATATAGCTTATGTTTTCAGTCCTACACTGCGGCTTGTTGGACTTGAAACCGTTGTTCCTTGTTTGTGTTCCATCTGACCTTTTGAAGTTGTTCTCTGGATCCATATCTTCGAAACTGTTCAATATTTTAATAGGCAGGCGATGAGTCACAATAACGTGGCTGAAGTATGTTGACCAGACCACACACTAGAAGTTGAAGGGACGACGAGTTTCGGTCCGTCCTGGACCATTCTCAAGTCGATTCAAGTCGATATTTTAATAGTTTCGGTGAGATCCATCCTGGCATGCCTAGTTTGCAGTGTTGTTAGCCCTGTGACCCTCAACCGTTCATGGTATGAAACTAGACCTCATTCTGCAATTATTTTTGTCGCCTGGTGTTCAATTTTCTCCATGAAAGGTTGGGCGCGGGGTGGGTTCTCTGTCGGCATCCAAGTGGGTTCTCTGTCGGGCTCCAAGTGGGTTCTCTGTCGGGCTCCAAGTGGGTTCTCTGTCGGGCCCCAAGTGGGTTCTCTGTCGGACCCCAAGTGGGTTCTCTGTCGGGCCCCAAGTGGGTTCTCTGTCGGGCCCCAAGTGGGTTCTCTGTCGGGCCCCAAGTGGGTTCTCTGTCGGGCCCCAAGTGGGTTCTCTGTCGGGCCCCAAGTGGGTTCTCTGTCGGGCCCCAAGTGGGTTCTCTGTCGGGCCCCAAGTGGGTTCTCTGTCGGGCCCCAAGTGGGTTCTCTGTCGGGCCCCAAGTGGGTTCTCTGTCGGGCCCCAAGTGGGTTCTCTGTCGGGCCCCAAGTGGGTTCTCTGTCGGGCCCCAAGTGGGTTCTCTGTCGGGCCCCAAGTGGGTTCTCTGTCGGGCCCCAAGTGGGTTCTCTGTCGGGCCCCAAGTGGGTTCTCTGTCGGGCCCCAAGTGGGTTCTCTGTCGGGGCTCCTGGGTGGGTTCTCTGTCGGGCCCCAAGTGGGTTCTCTGTCGGGCCCCAAGTGGGTTCTCTGTCGGGGCTCCGGGGTGGGTTGTCGGTCGGGGCCCCGGGGTGGGTTGTCGGTCGGGGCCCCGGGGTGGGTTGTCGGTCGGGGCCCCGGGGTGGGTTGTCGGTCGGGGCTCCGGGGTGGGTTGTCGGTCGGGGCTCCGGGGTGGGTTGTCGGTCGGGGCTCCGGGGTGGGTTGTCGGTCGGGGCTCCGGGGTGGGTTGTCGGTCGGGGCTCCGGGGTGGGTTGTCGGTCGGGGCTCCGGGGTGGGGTGTCGGTCGGGGCTCCGGGGTGGGTTGTCGGTCGGGGCTCCGGGGTGGGTTGTCGGTCGGGGCTCCGGGGTGGGTTGTCGGTCGGGGCTCCGGTTTGGGTTGTCGGTCGGGGCTCCGGGGTGGGTTGTCGGTCGGGGCTCCGGGGTGGGTTGTCGGTCGGGGCTCCGGGGTGGGTTGTCGGTCGGGGCTCCGGGGTGGGTTGTCGGTCGGGGCTCCGGGGTGGGTTGTCGGTCGGGGCTCCGGGCAGGCTTTAGGTACTCAACTGGCGGGCTCTGGGTGGGTGACTGTTCGGGCTCCAGGTGGGTTCTTAGTAGGGCTTGGGGGTTTGGGTTCTTGGTAGGGCTTGGGGGGTGTGGGTACTTGGTAGGGCTTGGGGGGGTGTGGGTACTTGGTAGGGCTTGGGGGGGTGTGGGTTCTTGGTAGGGCTTGGGGGGGTGTGGGTTCTTGGTAGGGCTTGGGGGGGTGTGGGTTCTTGGTAGGGCTTAGGGGGGTGTGGGTTCTTGGTAGGGCATGGGGGTTGTGGGTTCTTGGTAGGGCTTGGGGGGGTGTGGGTTCTGGGTAGGGCTTGGGGGGTGTGGGTATTTGGTAGGGCTTGGAGGGGTGTGGGTACTTGGTAGGGCTCGGGGGGGTGTGGGTTCTTGGTAGGGCTCGGGGGGGTGTGGGTTCTTGGTAGGGCTCGGGGGGGTGTGGGTTCTTGGTAGGGCTCGGGGGGGGGGTGTGGGTTCTTGGTAGGGCTCGGGGGGTGTGGGTTCTTGGTAGGGCTCGGGGGGTGTGGGTTCTTGGTAGGGCTCGGGGGGTGTGGGTTCTTGGTAGGGCTCGGGGGGGTGTGGGTTCTTGGTAGGTCTCGGGGGGGTTGGGTTCTCTGTAGGGCTCGGGGTGGGTTCTTGATAGGGCTCGGTAGGGCTCGGGGCGGGCTCCAGGTACTCAACTGACGGGTTCCAGTTCACACAACTGGCGGGCTCCGGTTCACTCAACTGGCGGGCTCCGGTTTATTAAACTGGCGGGCTCCGGGTGTTTGACTGGTCGGGCTCCGGGTGGGTGACTGTTCGGGCTCCAGGTGGGTGTCTGTCCGGCTTCGGGTATGTTCTTGGTAGGGCTTCGGGGTGGGTTCTTGGTAGGACTTAGGGTTGGCTCCCGGTCAGGCTCAGGGTGGGCTCTTTCGGGTTCGGGATGGGCTCTCGGGCTTGGGGTACCTCTGTAGGGCTCGGGGTAGGTTCTTGGTCAGGCCCAGGGTGGGTTCTCTGTAGGGCTCAGGGTGTTTTCATGGTAGGACTAGGGGTAGGTTCTCTGTAGGGATCAGGGTGGGTTCTCGGTAGGGCTCTGGGTGGGTTCTCGGTCGGGCTCGGGGCGGGCTCCAGGTACTCAACTGACGGGTTCCAGTTCACACAACTGGCGGGCTCCGGTTCACTCAACTGGCGGGCTCCGGTTTACTAAACTGGCGGGCTCCGGGTGTTTGACTGGTCGGGCTCCGGGTGGGTGACTGTTCGGGCTCCAGGTGGGTGTCTGTCCGGCTTCGGGTGGGTTCTCGGTAGGGCTTGGGGGTGGGTTCTCGCTAGGGCTTGGGGTTGGGTTCTCGGTAGGGCTTGGGGTTGGGTTCTCGGTAGGGCTTGGGGCCGAGTTCTCGGTAGGGCTTGGGGCCGAGTTCTCGGTAGGGCTTGGGGCCGAGTTCTCGGTAGGGCTTGGGGCCGAGTTCTCGGTAGGGCTTGGGGCCGGGTTCTCGGTAGGGCTTGGGGCCGGGTTCTCGGTAGGGCTTGGGGCTGGGTTCTCGGTAGGGCTTGGGGCTGGGTTCTCGGTAGGGCTTGGGGGGTGGGTTCTCGGTAGGGCTTGGGGGGTGGGTTCTTGGTAGGGCTTGGGGGGTGGGTTCTCGGTAGGGCTCGGGGTGGGCTCTTTCGGGATAGGCTCTCGGGCTTGGGGAACCTCTGTAGGGCTCGGGGTAGGTTCTTGGTCGGGCTCAGGGTGGGTTCTCGGTAGGGCTCGGG